GTTTATTACAACATACACGGTAAAGAAAACAGCTCGGAAACTAAGGAAATAAAGCTGCCGAAAAAACATTAAAGTCCACTTCAAGTTCAAGTATGTTTATTGAGACAATAAAAAATACATCTCAAAGGGATAGAGTAGCTTAGGCTATTTCTACCCCCCCCCCCCTCTACTTCAAGTCCCTCAAGGGGCGCACAAATTCAGTGAGTACAAATACACAAATCACAATACAAGAATACAATTAGGTCGACAAACAGCATTGTTTAAAAATAACAGACATGGGCTGACAATATAGGAGTAAGGTAGGTTACAGGGAATTTATTAGGTAGTGCTAAGTTTTTATCTTAAACTGGTTGAGAGAGGTACAGTCTTTAACATGATATATATATATATATATATATATATATATATATATATATATATATATATATATATATATATACACAGTATATATATGTGTGTGTGTATGTGCAGAAATAATATTAATAAAACAATTACCATCGTGTAGTGTAATCTATATATCAAAATATATTACTTTGAAACCCATATCATTCACTTAAAAAAATTGGGCTACTCTTATTACAAGTTCGCTACTTTTAGGCCGTCAGCTCGCTACTTTCAGCAACTTAGATCTGGCAACCCTGGCCCCTAGTGGGTGAATCTCAGAACCTGTAACTACTGGGTTGGTCGTGCCGTTAGTGTGGTGGGTCGTATACAACTGCCGTTAGTGTGGTGGGTCGTTTACAACTGCCGTTAGTGTGGTGGGTCGTTTACAACCTGCCGTTAGTGTGGTGGGTCGTATACAACCTGCCGTTAGTGTGGTGGGTCGTATACAACCTGCCGTTAGTGTGGTGGGTCGTATACAACCTGCCGTTAGTGTGGTGGGTCGTATACAACCTGCCGTTAGTGTGGTGGGTCGTATACAACCTGCCGTTAGTGTGGTGGGTCGTATACAACCTGCCGTTAATGTGGTGGGTCGTATACAACCTGCCGTTAGTGTGGTGGGTCGTATACAACCTGCCGTTAATGTGGTGGGTCGTATACAACCTGCCGTTAGTGTGGTGGGTTCCGATAACACTGATATGTTGTTTAAGATTCAGCTACTCGGAACAAAAAATTCCAAGTAGCACGGGCTATGGTGAGTCCGTAGTGGACTTACTTGGCACAGGAGCGGCGCTGTAACTCGTACAGTAGCGTCTGTTATATAGGCCTATATAATTACTCATTTAAAGTAGCAGTAAACATTAAGTTACAGCCCCGCTCCTGTGCCAGGGAAGTCCACTACGGGCTTACAATAGGCTCGTGCTACTTGAAACTTTTTATTCCGAGTAACTGAATTTAAAACAACAATAACAACAGTGAGCAGTAATCCGCACCAATATTTTTCACATGTTGCCATTATTAACAGGCGTGTTTAAAAATAAAGTGGAAGAACGTCCCCTAAGAATAACTTCCGATGCCATACAGTTGAAGTATGCACATTTTGAGGTAAGATGATTAATTCATTAGGTCCTCCACCTCAAGTATGTTTATTGAGATAAGCAATAAATACATCTCAAAGGGATAGAGTAGCTTAGGCTATTTCTACCCCCCTTCTCCACCTCTCATTAATCTAATCGCCGAAGCTACATTTATCTCTGAAATTCTGTCCCCCAATACACTAAGTTCAGTTCCATCCTTATTATCTCGATCATTGCATTTCTTGGACATCCCAGGATTATTCTCATGGCTTCATTTTATACCGTCTCCAAACTGTTAAGTCTACGAAAACAAGAAATGACAGGTGCAGCATAATCAATTAGTAATCACAGTATACCATGTGAGTACTCTTGTAATGGATTTGTGAGCCTTCCTATGCCCCTGTTACCTAGCAGTAAAATAGGTACCTGGGTGTTAGTCAGCTGTCACGGGCTGCTTCCTGGGGGTGGAGGCCTGGTCGAGGACCGGGCCGCGGGGACACTAAAAAAAAAAAAGCCCCGAAATCATCTCAAGATAACCTCCTGAGGGACCTTAAATAGACGAGGGTAGAAATAGCATACGCTACTCTATCCTTTTGAGATGTACTGTATTTCATTACCTCAATAAACTTGAACTTGAATAACTTCCGGTATTTTGCTCAATATGAAAATAACATTCTATTAATTCATTATTCATTATAAAGTCACGCGCAACATCGATTCTTGTGCACTCACAATGGTGGGCGCGATCACTTGATAACCTTTGATGGTGATGATATATTTGGTGACCAGAGAGATGGAAACATGTACGCTTCTCACGGCTGTTGAGCATCGCCCTCGACAGGTATGGTTTAAGCGTAGGTTTATACGCTTAACAGTCCAAGCATTCAGATGAGAACGGTTTGAAGCCGAGCGAGAAAGAGGGTCGTTAGTGTCCATAATGTTTGACAGGATGTGAGGTATACTATAATGTCCCGGTGTCCTCTTGATCAGATATTGATTATTGGAAGGGGGAGAATGACATTGGTGCGCCATAGCCTATTTTCATGGTTCGCCTGTTAATATTTGTAAAGACTTACTACTTATATTGTGTTTATTGGATATACTCTTTCGCGTTATTGGAAAAATTATATGAATCTATGCAGGAAGTATAAGGATTTTAAAGTTATGGGCTAGAGCAACTTATAGAGGTTTTATACGGCAAAGAAGACAGGTATATGCGTGCAAACATACATTCAAATACACATAGATAGGTGGAGGAGAGTGACAACGCTATACACACCAAAAACAACTGAGCAATGAGAGTATCTCGCAGACAGGAAACAAAGCGCAGTAATGAGAGACCAGAACGCGGTAGGAAATGGTGATTCCGCGCGGGGCCAGGCCATGCACGCAAATACACATATGCATACATATATAGTGTGCTGGACCACACGACCTGCCCCTATAGTGTGCTGGGACTTATAACCTGCCCCTATAGTGTGCTGGGTCTTATAACCTGCCCCTATAGTGTGCTGGGTCCTACCCACAACCTGCTCCTTGTAGCGTGGGTCCCACAAATGAGAAACCAAGAGGTGGCGATTAAAACAGCATCCCCTATGGGTCAGGTTCCTAATAAATCGCATTATTTTTTGACTAAAGATAACATTGATTAAGTCTTGTCATCTCAATGTGCGCAATCGACAACTAATATTGTGGTTTAAGTGAAAGATGCAGATGGAAGGACTGGTTCATAATGGAACTATGGGTATCAAAAGAGAACACTTAAAGTTTAAGTAAGTTTATTGAGACAATAAATTACATCTCTAAAGGATAGACAAGCTTAGGCTATTTCTACCCTCCTGTATTTCAGGTCCGTCAAGCGTGATAGAGCTGAGCTTCACCGGAGCTACGGGACGAGGTAACCTGTAGCCACCCAAGGTACTCCAGACACACCACCCGACCCCAGACAATCACCCCTTCCCCCTCCCACCAGAGGGACCCACCCGCTCCCTCTCCGCCCTCTTATCCCACCCACTACCAAACTCTCCCTTCACACCCGCTCACTACTAAACTCTAGCCCTCCCCCTCTCTCTCCCTCCCACTACCAAACTCTCCCTTCACACCCGCTCACTACTAAACTCTAGCCCTCCCCTCTCTCCCACCCACTACCAAACTCTCACTTCACACCCGCCCACTACCAAACTCTCACTTCACACCCGCCCACTACCAAACTCTCACTTCACACCCACCCACTACCAAACTCTCACTTCTCACCCGCCCACTACTAAACTCTAGCCCCTCCCTCTCTCTCCCACCCACTACCAAACTCTCACTTCTCACCCGCCCACTACTAAACTCTAGCCCCTCCCTCTCTCTCCCACCCACTACCAAACTCTCACTTTACACCCGCCCACTACTTAATACTTACAACCCGAAGCATCATGGTTATTTCCGTAAACCACTTACATGGTAGTAATTTATTCGATACATTTAAAAGTTTTAAGAAACTGGTCTGGAAATATTTTCCTAGATGTTACACGAAATTGTTTACATGTTTATGTTTAACGTACAACCATGCCGTATTGTCTGAATACAGGTGAAGGTTACCTGAAAATGTGTTGTTTTAACACAATATATATATTGGGTCTTTTCTATACTTCTTTGTTTATATTTTGTAAATAACTTATTAATCCTTTTAGGTAAAATGTAGACTTCTAGGCGTGTATACCGCACTAAAAGTTTACACTATACAAACGATGGCTAATACTCTCTGCGTGGGAAACAAGAGGCAGCATTATGGTGATGTTAATGGTGGGCCAGAAGAGGACACCCCCTTCAGGCAGCCACCAGCCGCTACTCGAGCCGGCAAGGCCCCGTAACCAACCATTGCCAGGAAACACTTATAGTTTCATTTTAAAACATGTGCAGAATATGTCTTGGAATATACTCTCTCTAGGTACGGGTTCTCATTTCCAAGAGACACGCCCACTTGTATTTCTGATAAGAGATGATGTAAGATTCTCCCCTCCTTCCCTGTCTGAGAAGCCCGCCATGCCTGGGTCAGTTCCCTCAGTAGGTCCTGTACCTGAAAAGCAACACCAGAATGCCTCACGGGACGAACTTTATTATTGATTCCTTGTAAGCGACAAGCTCACGGCCTATTTTGTGAAACATTTCTGGAGCTAAGCTTGCCTCGTACCTAAATAGTAAACATTTAATTTAAACTGTATATGATATGTGCATTTGTCGAGACCCCGAGCGAGAGTAGGTCCTTAATGGACGAAATTGCCAGGAGTACCAATGCGGTTGTAAACTCTTAAGATTTAGAAGGACATTATAGAGTAACAGTGAACACTATGTTGCATTCCAATGCAATTAGTATATAGAAAAGCAAGGAAATTAATTTGAAATATCAATTACAAACATGAACACGTGAAGATTTCAACGCATCTGATGTTGGCAAGTGTGACTAGGCGCGTTAGGCCCCGCCCCCTCCGAGTCTCGGATGGTGGTCGGCGGGGACGACCATGGTGGAGACGGTAAGAGTCTCGGACGTCCGCACCGCCGGACCAGGACCCAGAGTTCACGAACGCTGACGGTCTCAGTGTCGATCCTGCGGGACTCTGTGTCGAGGGAGGTGCGCCTGTGACTCCATGTTGTTTTTAATGAGTCCATTGTTAGTGTAGTCTGACCCTCTGCCACTGTTCCTACCATGTCTGCCATTAAGTATATTGGAGGACTGAAGGAGTACCTGGCCAGGGGAGAGTGCGTAAATGAAAGTTCCATCTTCAGGCTTCATTACCAGTTCACAGTTGTGCTTTTAATTGGTGCGTCGATCCTGCTGACGGCGGCCGAGTTCTTCGGCACCCCCATAGACTGCATCACTGGACTCTCGCAGAAGAATGTCATCAACACCTACTGCTGGATACACTCCACCTTCACTATACAAGATTACTATTTACGGTGAGTTCCCCCCGGCCCGAGTCACCGTCATAACCCCATTGTTTACGGTGCTATGACAATTGTTTAGTGTTAAAGGTGCAAGTTTATTATAAATAATTACTCGCCCGTCTACTTTAGCATAAACAATTACAATTACTTGCCAGAAACGCTATGCGTATTAGTGGCTTTAGGTATTGTATGTACTATCTATTAATCCAATATTATTTGTAACTGCATCTATGTATGCACTTTTCCTGAATAAAATATTATTTATTATTTACTCGAAGTTGGTGAAATTGAAGAAATGATAGAATTAAAGCTATGGATAATTTTGGCGATTGTTGGAGCGGGTCTCGTCAATTAGGTCGTGTAGAACGAGGGAAAATTCATTTGCAAGTTCAATGTGTGTGTAACTATAGGTTTCAACGGTAGATATTTGGCCGTCACGAACCGGGTGTAAAAGGGTTGAATTAAATGCTTGTTCCTCTTGTTTTAGGAAGAGATGGTTCCCTGTCATTATAAACTTCGAGCAGTGGAACCGCGAGTCGACCAGCTAGTTAAGGGTATTCTATAATGATGGCTACAATTAGGTTGTTTGACTAGGTAGCTGCTAGTACATTACAAAGGAAACTGCAGAAGACTTTGATGAATGCGACACAGCGCCTGGTTAACAGAGTATATTAATTGTGGAAAATATTTTGATTCCAAAGCGGCCAATGTTTTTGTTCCGCTGTAGAGGATGCGAGCCAATAGCGGCCTGCGGTGTTTAGCGTATACTGATTGATGAAGATTAAGCCACCCAAAAGGTGGCACGGGCATGAATAGCCCGTAAGTGGTGCCTTTTGAGCCATTACCAGTATCAATAGATGATACTGAAGATCTGTGGAGGTGCGGCTGCACTCTGCGTGACGGGAGATGTCTCCCGTGTAGCGTATACGCGAGTGGCGCATGTTTTAATTGGCAAATATGCAGTTCAAATTCAATTCAAACGTTTATTCCGGTAAAAGTACATGCATAGATGATGAGTTACAAACATAATGTTGGATTTTATAGAGCCAGTTGGCTCTGGTTAGAGGTTAAATTGGGCACACATTCCCTTTATGGTAAGCCTGTTATAAAACTCATTTGACCGGTCACTTTTGTGGTGTAAATTACTGGGCGTTTTTGTAAACTTTGTGCATAATCAAAATGTAAAGGTCGCTGGGAACCACCTAATTATTGCTTAGATTTTATCTTTTTGCATTGCTAATTCTACATCAAGAGGGAGATGTATAAATATTAGGACGATGGTGCCACATTCCGGTTTTATTTTCATTGCTTGCACGAGGTAATTTTGTTAGTCATAGATTATATTTATATGGTGTATCAGGGTTTTGGTCGATGATGCCGCCATTTTTTTTCCTGCAAATTTATATTTTTTTAAGAGAACTGGTAATCCTTGTTCCACTAAGTTGCCTTATAAAGCTGTTAGTGTAATTTATTCAATTGACTTACATTGTTGAAAAAAGTAAAATTGTTTCATATTTTAATGTTATATATCTTGAGTTTAAAATATATTTCGGTATTTCATGCTTTATCCACATAACTTGTATGTATTTATTGGTGTCTGCCCAGTTGTTACAGGTATATAGGTTTCATAATTGTTAGAGAATAGATCCAGCTAAAAGAGTCAATGTATTAATGTTCAAAGTCTGTCTAATAGGATATTGGGTTGGGAATAGTGTCTTATATATATTGCATAGTAATATATATTATTATTTAACTTGAACTTGTTAGATCCCATTTAAATTATACAGTTTGGTTTTGGTCACCATACAAGAAAATAAACATGCATTCTGTATTTACACAGAAGGAACTGGAAACCTCAGGTATGAATAAGGTAAATGCAAGGGGAGGGGGGGGGGATGCAATAGAAGTATACAGATGTATGAAGGGTAAAACAAGGTGGATATTAATAGGGTGCTAAATACCTACACAATAACTTCAATGGATACAAATTTGTATTTGTGTAGATTTAGGAAGATCCAAGTAAATACCGAAATAGGGTTTTGGACCCGTAACAAATTACTGGGCAATAAGTAAACATGGGATTACTGCACTGTATTGTTTTTAAGTGAAGATTTGGTATACTGGTATATAAAAGTTTGGATTGTAATAAAATAGCTGCCTCATATGGGGCAATAGGTCTTGTGCAGTTTCCCTTTTAATCTTAGGATCTAGATTCGCAATTATTGGATAGACATTTGTCTAAATTTCTTGCCTTTTCCAAATGTTGAATGTCTCGGGCATTTTGGCTGTAATTAACAGTACCAGTTCCATGTTAAGTTTAAATGTAAACCAAATCAGACAAACTTGTGCATGTCCAGGTAGTGGAAAGTTGCAATATATCCATGGTATGAGCATTGCTTTTAGGCACGGTCACATTTTATGGGGTACTCTGTAAAATGGATTTATACTAGTGTCCATAAATTTTAAATGTAGTAAAGTTCTAGAATAGTTAGCCTAGCATATTTTACATGAACATTGTCAATTCTACTTTGAGGTTGCAGTGAAATAATTGCAACTAATGTGTTAGTCTTTGCAGTTCCATGGGTTGATCCACTTTTAATGTTCTTTTCAGCACCCCATCCTTTTCTGAGCAAGTTAGATTAGGAATTGTGTTCCTATCATATCCCCATAAAATTTGTATCCACTTTGCTAATATTTGATAGGCCCAAATAAGGGGAAAGAGGCATGTTCATCATACTCGGCTGGTATTGTAGGCTAGCGACTCCAGACACAACTAAACAAACCTGTAAATGCTGTACTATTCATCAGCCCTTCTACAGAGCTGGGAATGTTATAGAAAATGTGCGATCTTTTGGCAGCTCAGTCATTTGTGATGCGCTTGATAGCCAATTAATATTACAAAAGGAATACAGTAGTGCATTAGGCGTACTGGCCCCCATGTTGTAATAGCTTCTGCTATTTATTGGTCTTTTTTGTAAAAAGAAGTTCTAGAAGAACACTGTGGCCCGAGTAAAACACTAAAAGTACCTATGCTCGAAAAGCCATTAAAAGGGTACAGTAATTGGAGCAACCAGATCCCCTCTACCATGTCTTTTCATAGGTCAGCATTTGAGAATTGGTTTAGTTTAGAAGGGCTGTGATTGGCCTTCCCCAAGATGATACAAAGTCTTTGCTTAGCCTCCAGGCAGATAATATATGGCAGTAGTGTTTAAGATAATAGATTAGTGAATCACGTTATTTTGACTACGGTAATCCAGAAATGTACACTCTCTTGTTCCAATGCATACCTTGATAATTGTCTTAATTATGGTAGAGAAATTAGTGGTAGGATTTAATTAACAGTTTTTGACTTAATTTTCATTTAAAATTAATCTTGTATATTTTAGTTTATTTAATTTCCCCCATTGTAATATACAAATTTAAATGATAAAGGTAAATGGAGTGAAACCACAATGAAAAATTTACCTGAATTTACTCGAGGGCCACTAACGCACTAATGGACTCGACGAGGACAGGAAGCCAGCAGTTTGTCAAAGGTTCCCCATTTGTTCTAAATATTTTTTTAAAGTTGGGTTTTAAATTTCAACAGGCTTGGCATTTATGGCTTTGGCAGATAAGCAGTTCCATGGGTTTATAACCCTGTGGGTGAAAAAGTATACTGTATTATGTTTTCAGTCCTACATTGTATACTTTGTTCTAACAAACCTAGTTGTGATTATGGGGGTTGAACTTCGGCTCTTTGGTTCCACCTCTCATTATTCTTTAATGATTTCATATCCCAACTCGTACCTTGTTTGGCTGGCTCCCTAGACCTATCTTCATCACCTTACACTTGCTTCAATTAAACTCGAGTAGCCATTTGTTGGAGTATTGTGGCATGATCTTGAAACCATTGCTCCTTGTTTGTGGTACATGTGACTTTTTGAAGTTGTCTGGATCAACATCCTCCAAATTGTTCAGTATAGGTACTGTATACAGTAAGGGATGAGTTAATTAGGACATTTTGTAGAGATGTGGCATGTAGAATTCTCCTATTTTTAGAGGAGTTGACATTGAAAATCTGTCTGGTTCTAGGTTATTGGCACAAATTGCTAAGCAATATCTAATTTGGTTAAAAAACTCAAATGGCATGATTTACAAATGTTATGGTTTTTTATAGTGGCTTTGTGTGCATTTGTGTGAAGGGGTTAGTCATTTTTGTCTTAATTTACTTGGAGTACATAAAAGCAGCACTATACAGTACTGCCATCAGCTGGAGGGTTGGTACACTAAGTATTTTGATTCTTTTTAAGACTTAAATGCATAATTTTTAAATTTTTCCTCTGCAGAGAGAGGGGATCCCAAGTAGCAGAGCCAGGGGTCGGGTCTCCAAAAGGATATGAAGAAGAAATAGAGGCAAAGTGGCGTTTCCACAACTACTATCAGTGGGTTGTCTTTTTCCTTTTTTTCCAAGTAAGTTTTTTTTTCCATGATCAAGTACTGAATGCATGAGATGAGAATTTTGTCTCCATAGTAATTAAGCATTGATATTTTTGCTGGATTATACAATATTGTAATACCAGGAGAATGCGTTTTCATGTTAGCTCAACTCGGCTTGAGGTGCCATTTGTTTAGTGGTTCATCGAGCTCAGTGTTAGCAAATTTTGTTACTATTTTCATCATATGCTGATGAATTACATTCCAGCCATTGAAATTACACCGCAGAATACCATGAAGTAGTTTGTTGCATATCAATACTATAGAGGAAACAAAAGGCCAGTTTTCCCAGTCTAGGTAGCTCCTAGCTACAGTACATCCAACCACACCCACTCCTATATTTGTTAAGTCTTTTCCCCGAAACAATACAGCAGCCCCCATGTTTCATTGTTAACCTGGTAATATGTTCTGTAAATCTGCAGCCTCGTTTCCAAACCAGTATTTACCCAGGGTTTTAATTGGAAGATACTCCATTTGTATAATTTTTTTGTTATAAAAAAATATTTAGCACATTTTAAATTTACCTTGTTAAACCCTTTATTTACATCAAACCCCTAATCTTGTGTTTTCATGAGACTATAAAGTACTGTACTTGGCGTGCATCACCAGCATGTCCACCAGCAACCTTAGTATATATTGTATATTAAAGTACTGTACAAAACCACAAGGTTTCTCCCCCTACAAAACCCCTTGAAAAAAACTTAAGTTTGATAACCTTGTTAATCTTTTCATTAAGGAGGTTCATATGTAATGGGTCACCTTCATCATTTTCTGCACTTTCTACAAAATGTCTTTTTCCACAAGTCCCCAAACCTGAGCTGCATATGTAAGTTTGATCCAGCAAGGTCAAGATAAAGTAGAAAAATAGTGTTCTTATTACTAACATTGCTTGTTTTGAATTCTAAGGAGATATAAATCCACCAGATACAGTAGCTGGCCTGCTCTTCCCATAAACAATTTGGTTAGCCCTAAAAGAATTTTGTTTTCAGATTTGGCAATTTCAATACTGTACTGGTCAGCTGATACCTGGTAACTTCCATTTCCTAGGCTTAGACCCCCTATATTTTTCAGCATTAAAATGAATCTGCTAACCTCATCCATTTTGAGTAGGCTATCAAAGTGGTCCAGTAGCAATATGCCTCTTGTAATCTTATCAATGCTCACACGATGGATATTGGGTGCATAATTTACTACTAGATTTCCTAATGCTACTGATGAGTCATATGCTTAAGTAGTTAATATGTAAATAGAAGTGCTAGAGCAGAGCTCTTTGGCACTCTACATGCAACAGTTTCCCCACCCAACTACTTTATGCTGTCAATAATACACATACTTGTCTGTTATGTCCCTAATATTTAGTGTGTTAAAGCCTCAGGGATTTAGAACTAGTAAATATTATTTTTCAGAAGTAATTATATGTCCCATGCCTGTGCACAAAGGGAATAAAATTTGAGGGATTTTGAGGTGTTCTAATAATTTAGGTATTTTGAATGGATTTTGGCAATAAACATTCTTTGCACTTGACCTCGATCAGCCACTTCTACTTCAAATGGAGCAGTAAATGTGCAGCAGTATTCCACTCAAGATACATGTAGTACAAGTAAACAGTTTTATCATTGGAATTTCCTGTTTGACAGTTTTTTCTAACAAATTTGTCTTCATCTATAATGTGTGCATTAAAAATTAAGGCTTGCATAACAAAACTCTCAGGTCTTCTACCTAGTTTTCTGCTATTATATTGTTTTGATTGCATTTTTAATGGGCTCTTTTTACCCATATGCTAGAGCTGAAACTAAGTATTACTCTTTATGGGTATTCATTGATAATGTTGAGACACCCAAAAAAAGAAACCCACCACCTTTTATTTTCTACGCCCTCTGATATTTGACATTTAATTTTCCAATGAGCCAACTAAAGATAACATCTCTAGATAGTTTTTATTCAATCAAATGTAACTATTTTCAGTTTTATATTGGTTTATGGTATTTTTAAATTAATTTTGTCTCTTTTTTCCCACAGGCTGCATTATGCTATATTCCCAAGTTTGTTTGGAACACTTGTGAAGGTGGGTTGATGACTACTATATCCCAGGGGCTAAACCCAGGACTACACAAAGAGGATGAAGTCAGTTCACGCAAGAAAGTTGTCATTGACTACATTGTTAAACACATTCGGGTATGAATAGATTATTTTTTTGCATGCAATGGTAATTTAACTTAAAAAAACTCAAACAAAACTCAAACAGTTTGGTGGATGCTAAACGGTTGGTAAACATGCAAAGGCTGCTATATTGAGTGAGCTTATTTTTTTTAATATATGTTAAGTTGAATTTAGTTATTTATTTTAATCGCCAAAGTCTATTATTAATTTGTGTAACGACTGTGTTGCAGATGCACAATGGTTACGTCTTCAAGTACTGGTTCTGCGAGTTGCTGTGCTTCATAAACATTGTTGGTCAGCTGTTCTTGATTGACAGGTTCCTGGGAGGAGAGTTTCTCACATATGGTCCAAGAGTAAGGGAAATTTATTACTGTAATAATTTGTTTTCACTTTATTTGGAATTTGCATAAACTTATGAACAATGATGCTGCAAAATGATGTTGAATTTTAATGAAATTTAGGTAAAATGAAAAAACTGAATGTTCATAAATAGGTATACCTATGTTGTATTAAAGAATGTAAGGGGAAACTAAAATAGGTTGGGGGGGGGGGCTTTAACCTAGTTTAATGTTGCTTTGGTCTGATGGTCAATATTTTCTAAAAGTCTTGCACAGAGTCTGTACAATGGGATCAGACCTGCCAAACAGCATTAGTATTTTCTTGATTAAATCTTGAGAACGATTAATCGTGTATAAGAACTTTATTAGGCCTATGAAAGGTTAAGGAATCTTTGTTCTAACTTAAGTTTCCTCAACTTTTTTCAGTAGTTTAGTACAAAATGACCAACTATGCAGCATTTCTTTTGTAATTTGGATCCTTGACTGCTAGAGGTGCCCTTTCTTCCCTTATTTAGGATGGGTTGGTATATAAATAAGGCAGGTCTAAGTAATTGTAAACATAGGTGTAAACGGTATATAAATCTAATAAAGTAATTGACTTGAGTCTTCCAGGCTGTTGACAATGAAAGTTGAGATAGATTATATCTTTATGCTTAAGATTCGTTCATTCATAAGATAGTTTCATGAATGTGAAAGTTGTGAAGTTCTTGCTTGGTATTAATACCTGGGATGGGTTATTGATGAACCAGAAATTTATAGAACAGAAAAGGAAAATAGTTTTACTGCATTTATATATAAAACTTCAATAAAGTGGTGGTTTATTTTCCTAGTGAAAGTAATAGGAAGAAGCGAATTGGGAGGCAGATTTTACACACTACTCTAGATCCCAGATTGTCTTTATTTAAAGTATGATGCTAGTCAACACATCAGGCAATTGTGACCCTTTAAATTTTTTTTTAATTTACCTGTTTAGCATTAATACTTGATCAACCACAATCAAAACTTATTTCAGTTTACTAAAACAGGTACATAGCCTTCCCGGTTTGGTGCCTTCTTTTGATAATTACTTACTTAAACAGGTTGTGGAGTACAGTGAAATGGACCAAGAGGAACGAGTTGACCCTATGATCTATGTTTTCCCGCGTATGACCAAATGCCACTTCCACAAATTTGGTCCTTCGGGTACTTTGGAACGTCATGATGCTTTCTGTCTGCTTCCACTTAATATCCTCAACGAAAAGGTAATTTTTAAGACTGGGTTAGATAGTATGTTTTGCTGAAAGTGCTGATGCATTAAATTTTTTTTTTCTCCTATAATTTAGGTTAATGAACCTGCATTAAATAATTACAAAATGTTTCAAATACATGTGAAGAACTTAAGACATGTTAATCTAAAAGTAATTTGTATGCAATGTTTTATTAATATTTTATGGAAGGTATTTAAAAAATGTTTAATATGGAAATCAATAAATACCAAAATTTATACTGCCATAGACAAAATGTGTATATGAACTGCTTAAGTCTGTTTTGACACCAAAGAAATTAGTTGATTTTTCTAAAGTACAGTACTGGGTATAATTACCTTCATTGTTTGCACTGGAAGCCAAATTACTTTTACCACAGTTCACTAATTAGCCATATTTATCCATCTTCAGCTGGCTTTCCGTTTTTGCTCATACCCAATTCACGATACAGAAAATTATCATCTTTAAAGTGGCAGCAACTGCAAAATGCGTGGGATAGGCATTGTTTTTTTTTCTAATTATAATATACTTGGAGATTTTGCATTCTTATACAAATTTTTATTTTACTTTGTAGGTGTTCATAACAGTGTGGTTCTGGTATGTGATTCTGGCCACCCTTTTAGGAGTACTACTATTGTACCGCATAGCTCTCTTCGCCCTACCTGGCCTGCGTCCACGTGCCATGCACAAACATAATAAGGCTGTCCCCATTGAGACTGTTGAAGCTATCACAAATAAAACTTCCATTGGTGACTGGTAAGGATAGTGTTGGGTTTTTGTGTACATTATAATGTTTTTTTTTGTGGGCTTTTGGGGAGGGGCATATGCAAGTGTGCTACAATTGCTGCAGCCTGTCAGGGGCTACATTTTGGACAGATGTACACAAGTTTTGAGGGAGGGTAGGCTATGAATGACACTGGTTTGGTTTGATACCACTGGTCTGGGTTTACCCATGATACATGTCAAAGATTTTTAGTTCACAATAATAAAATTTTGAAGCTGGTTCAGCATGAAAATGAGGGGTGCAGAGTAGAATCATTCATTTAATTTTCATAAATTAACATTTTGCATAACCATAACTAATTAAAAAACCTTTTACAGGTGGATCCTATACGTTTTATCAACAAACATCGATCCATTAGTGTACCGAGACATTATGACGAGACTTTCAAAGGAGATTGAAACTGCTAACAGCAATATGCCATACAACAATGCAGGATTATATTCATCGTCATCTGTATGAATGTTGGAGGACATGGACTGAGGGCTGTCACCACCAGCTGAAGGTGCACAAGCTATACGCACTTATGTAAGTGGATTTATACCTATATTACACGTCTTTAAGTTGGGCAAGTAATGGGTCACTTACACTGACATTTTCAGTGCTGTGAATGGTATGCTTTGGGAATAGGCAATGTTAAAATACGGATCAGAGGTTATTTATCCGCTTTAAGGAGTAACCTACTGCACCAAAATGTTTGTAAATGTATTTTATAGTGTGGTGGATTATATTTCAGATATCTAATGTAATTACTGTACCTGAAATACATTTGCACCTAATGCCATGTCCCATTTTTCTAAATCTTGAATCCTGTTAATATTGCCTCACTTTATTCATATGGCCTTCATTTTCATTTTATATTTAAAAAAAAAGCGACGATATAAATGGTAAAGCTGCGGCAATTTTTTTTTAAGGAAGTAAGTTTAGCTAGTTTTTGTAATAAAAATGGGATGAATAGTGGTGACTGGAAAAAGAGGCATTAGGTTTTAAGTTGACACCATTGCAGGTGTTACGGAGGCCACCATATATCATGTACCGTGCTGTAATAGCATTTCAACATCTGACTAGCCGAGCCTTTTGCAACTTCACTGATTGCATTATTTTCTATTAAACTTTTATGCAGTCACTTTCATTAAAAGTGCAAGTTTCCACTTTAGTTACCAGCATTCTACATTCCCTTCAGCTGAGATTGTCACATATGATCTTGTGATTAGTTCTCCTTTAGGTAAGGAGAACTAACCATACTGCACGTGGGCGACAGCCTTTAGTCCTTGTCATGGAATGTCACTTATGAATTTATTCCCTAATGCTTTGTATTAATACTGATGCAGGATAGTCCTTTCATATTGTTATTCTATGTACTGTAGTTGTATGTTCCAAAAGTTTTCAACTATTTATTTATTTTTTTAAATACGTTGAGGTAATGTATTTTGAGACCCCCCATTCAGGAGTAGTTGACTTTCCAGAATGCCGATTGTTTAAACATTGCTGTTAATGCTCAGACATTCGTTGTAGCAATAATTGGTAACAGTGTTACCACAATGCTGTGTATGGGAAAAGGCTTGTGTGCTATTAACTGACTTGTGGATATTAATGTTGAATCTCAATTATTAGATACTGGCATAGCAATATTATTCTTTAAGACTTAAAGAATAATTAAAGCTGATAGCATTTTTATTTATTATATTGGTCAGGGATAATTGGAATACCCCTTTAAGTGTTGAGCATTATTGTAGTTGTGAAAGGTACTATAATGCTCTCTAGACCTTGTAGTCAGTGAAAGAAATAATTTGTTTTAAAAGGAGAAAATCTTGTCACTAATTGAAGTTTGTGACAAACTGTATAAAAGGTTTGCATGTGTTTACTTGTGGAAAAAGTCTCAAGAAGTGCCAAGTGAGTTGGTCTGCTTGCCGATGCTCGGGTAATGAGACAACTGCTACATGCCTTGTAGCAAAAATGATGTTGCAGCTGTGAACTTTGAGATTTGTATTTTAAGAATTCTGTACTTGTAGCTATATTAAAGATAAATTTTTGTAAATTGTGTTTAATTTAACCAGATTGCATTAGTTTACACACACGTGTGAAGGAACCACAAAATATCCTTTTGGGTCAACAGAATCTTGCTTTTTGTGAAACTCCAGTCTGCCTCTGCCTTTTAGTATCTACAATTACTGCAGCAATAAGATTTATAACTAGGATTTACTGAATTGTGAAAATGCCATTGTCTGGAAGCAGTGTTGCTTCCTTGCCAAGCTGTATATGGGACTATACAAAACTTTTTATTAAAATGGCAAAAAGATTTTTTCTCTAAATTGCCACCTATAGCAATACATTTTTATTGTTGTAAAAGTAGTACAACATAAATAGCTGGTGCCTTTGTATCATAATGACAACTTTCATTAAATTATTTTACAGCTAATGTTAATTTGGTGGAAATTACATTGAATTTTATGCTTACCACAATATAAGGGTAAAAAATACATTGCAATTAGTGCAAAATGTTTTAATTATGCAGCTAGTATGTGTGCAAGAACTAACATCTCAGACAATTTCAAGTGGATCCTTATCTTTCTCTGAAATGACTACATTAATTTCCTTACTAAACAGTTCATGAAGACGAGGTTGAAGTTTCTTGAGAAATCCACGCTCGCTGTTGGAATGATCAGTGAGTATCACCGAGGCACCCTGGTGAGTAGCATCTAGAACGTCATGATGAGACATTTCCCCGGTGAGCCAAAGATCAGCACCAGTACCACGCAGAACTGAGGACCCCGAGCCAGCACACACTGCTACACTTCTCACTGGGCTCTCTGAAACAGTGAAAGCATTTGTGCAACAAAGTAGACAAATGTTGTTTATACAGTATTTACACAGTAACTAGTAGCTATAGTTTAAGACTTAAGGCAAGCATTCATTATGTACTGTAGCTCTCTGCCTGAAATAACTGCTATGCATAAATTATAAATCATGCTGATGAAAAGTCAACCCTTACTTTGTTCATTATGATGTACAGTATCTCCTACTGCTAAACTCCTAAAAACTTAAATAAAGCTAAATTTGCAAAGTACTAGGCAAGATTATCGTTACAACGAAATGAACTATGCTGAATCAAAACTTAAAAAAATTCTTGGTAAACTTACCAAGTTTAACACCACGCGCCAGTGCTAAGCGGACGTGTGGTAACCCAAGATACGACTTGATCCTATTAACAGCTTCCTGAATAGTCATTGGGGAAGCTATTGTACATTTTCTCCCCATACCATGGCCAGGAATGGGAACCTGCGATGACAATGAAAGTGTTTTAGACATTGAAACCAAGATGCATTATCACATCTTGTATTAAATACTGTAAGTCACGTAAAAATTTGCATCATACACAGGACTGTTCAACAGATTTTGACACTGAAAATGAGCAGTGTTGAGCTGTCTTGTGTATGATTTGACCACACAGTACTTTCAGATTATTATTAGACAAATCACCAGGTTTTGCCGTTTCTCAGTTCACTACAATAAACAGTGGCTGTCTGCTTGAATGAACACTTTTCACACTTGGGCCCATCTACAGCACAAGAACTTACATTGTATTTGAACTTTGCCTTACTATTTTATTGCTGCTAATATTATTTTTCCAAGTACCAATGGTCGAATGTCTTCACACAACTTCAATAAGAGGAAAACTATTAATTAGTGAATATATATAGTTAAACTCCTTTAAAACAGTCAAAACCACTGTCATTCATTCCTGGGAACTATCCCTACCTTACAAACTCAAACTGCCTAGGAAGACGAATGAAAATATTATTACATTAGCACCAATATTAAAAGATAATTTTTTTGTTTTAATACCATACTGAACTTCATTGCCATGTACTGTACTATGTAGTTAACAGTGGTATGAAGTGGTTTGTAAATATGTTGAGGTTGATTTTTGTTATAATTACTGTTAGCATCTAAAGAGTTACAAACACCACATCTATAGCTAAGACTTGTTAATGTTTATATCTGAAAACTTATTAGCCGGGAAGTTTAAGATTATTAGTTACCTTTTCTAGCTTAGTAACCGTGAGCTGCAAAGATGAAGAATTTCCAAGACCACTGGCCAGGGTGACAATGCTCCCAAGAGTTCGTTCTGTACACAACAGTTCCACATGCTGTTCACCTCTGCAATATTGAACAAAGTGAAAATCATCAGTGCTATGCTTTTTCAAGGGAATTCATACCTGCAGCATACATTACATTTTACTATGTCTGGCAACAAAGAGTGGCCAGGCTATCAACCTCTGCCATCACTAGATGGCTCAACCTATGAAAAATTATATTTGTACCAAAATAAATATTAAGATAAATAATTTAATCTTTCTTATACTGTCAATATGTAAACAAATGTTTAGATTTTATAAATAGCTATGAAATGTTAAAGAATTTATTTGATTTGCAACATACAGTAAGTGCATGTAAATATTGTACTGTAATCATTGTCCATACAAACAATGTCTCAGACTCTTTACAAGCAGAGGCGACTATCACCCTCCAAGAATTAATCTGTAAACACACCAGTCCAACACTTTGATAAGAATTTTCTTTACAGTTTGTTAAGATCGTGCAACTTTCCACCACATCTAATATCTTGGTCTGTCAACCAAGTATCTGTTAAGCTGAATGTTCGCCACACCCATCTGCATCTCCGCACTAAATCACCAACAACCCATCCACATCAAACTCCCACTAATTACACCCCCTCCAACCACCAATACCCTCCCCCCTCCACATGTCACCCATGCATTACCAACTACTCATTCTTTCTCAATGTCACATTTTTCACAATATGTCAAAACTTCCCATTAGCTCTGATCAAAGCATATCTATACTACTGTAGTTAGTTTTGTATTAGACTATAAACTTGGTATTTTCTTCTATTTTTTATTTACTGTATATATATAATGAAATACTTGCTGGAATGGATTTCCTTAATGATTGTGTGAAGGCAATTTATGTGTGGTACACAACTTGCATGACACCAGTGACAATACTTCATGTCTTACAGGTTTATCTATTTTATTGAAATATCGAGGAGAAAATAAAGAACGGTATAAAGTTTTACGTGGAAATGTCTAATGCACCTCTAATGACATAATACAGTACTGTATAACAAAGTCCTGAAGTGAAACTACCTTATAAAGACAGCAGACTGATCAGGGAGGGCTGTCAACTTTTCCAGGAGTGCTGCTGCCTCGGACTTGTCGCTGATAACAACAGTCACGCGATGACTATAATTTGGCGAATTGGTGCTCGGTTGTATCGGCTTCACTTCTTCTCCATCTACATACATACAAAAACATCATTAACCAGTTCCCTCTTTACATAGGACTCATTATAACAGACAGTGGTCATAACACATTAATTTACAAATAGAGTACAGTAAATGCTGAAATTTTTCTTTTGCAAATTACAAATAAAATTGATCCATAACAAATCAAGGAAAGCAAAGTCACACACGTGCTAATGTCAACAGATTTTAACTTTATACAATAAAATATTCACAGTACAGTATTTTTTCAACAATTATTTATTTCACTCACCAAAAGCCTGAATGAGCCAATCATTAACTCCTCCCAGTAATGCATCATAAGCAGTGTGCGGGGAGTAGACAGCAATGCCCTTCTCCAGACAACGTGCAACAATTCGCTCCTGGAAGAAAACGCCGGTAATGAAAATTACCCAAATCTAACAAAATATCAGTGCACACCAGGAACAAGAGAGATGACTCTAGATCATCATGTACCAAAGGCTGGAAGAGATAGTGTAGTGGCAGTATGCCCGATCACCCCACAGCAAGCGATACTATATTGGCCATGATCTGGCCCTAGGCACTAGTTCCTAACTGTTCACTCAACAGTAATTTGAACGCAAGCACAACTAGGCGAGTACTGTATATTTTTTAATAAAGCACTGTACTGTATTATACATGCACTGTATAATGCACGATACATAGCAATAATTCATAAATAAAATCCTGCATACAGCCTACAAATACAAATTATTGTACAAAATAAAAGCAGCTGTATTTAGATAACAGATAAACCAGCATTATATGAATAATTCTTTGGCCTTGTATAAATAAAAGACAAAAACTGCCATATAAGCACCTTCCAGGCATTGCTGGTGATCCTCTTCAGCGGCCGGAACACAGGCGGGTGATACGAGAGAATAAAGTTAGCGCCTCGTTCCTCCGCTTCATCCATGACCTCTTCGGTGAGATCATTAGTTAACATTACTGTCTCAATTTCTCTGCAGAAATTGAAATGAGTGCAAGCATGAATACAAAAATCAAATGCATAATATTAGTTACATGTAATTTACAAAAATATTTGAGCTACCAGTACTGGATAAAGTACTGTACACAGAAATGCAGAAATATTGATAATGCTGTATGGCTATGGAATCTTTCAATAACAGAAAAGGCCAATAGGCAAGATATTTGAGTTTTTTTGTGTATACCGTGGGTGGATGTGTGGGCATACCGTGGGTGGAAGTGTGGGCATACCATGGGTGGAAGTGTGGGCATACCGTGGGTGGAAGTGCAAGCATACCGTGGGTGGAAATGCGGGCATACCATTGGTAGAAGTGCGGGCATATCGTGGGTTTTCAGCAACACCACTTTATTGACAACACTTAGTGTGAATAAAATACTGTATATCCATCCTTTTTCTCACTACAGGTATTACATATTACCTGTACTTATTCTGTAACATTAACCCTGCAATTTCCAGTACTGTATCAATAACATGTGCCCTCCAAATTTATATAATTATTTTGTTTAATGATATACTATATTAGTAATAATGAACCTTAAAAATATCCTTTGTAAAACGTACTTCTTACTGTATGGCTCAACCAAAAGTCCAACATTATCCCAAGACTCTGCCAGGGACGTTGAGGCCAAGCTGTCGAGACGTTTCACAACCTCTGAGAGATGCATGCTAGAAAGAAAAAAAATTGTACTGTATGAACAAATTTCCTTGCCAGTTTCAGGAAAGGGTAGGCATGGGCAAAGATTTGCCCCTTTAAACTCTACAATGGTATTAATTCATTACTGAATACATGACAAAACTGTCACATGCACACTATACATATAAGAGTTATGAGCAAAGTAAATACTGTACTGTATTATGGGTTAGAGTCCCAAATATTTGCTACCTTCATATATTTACGGACTGACACCCAACCCACTCTTTTGAAAATAAAGAACCAGTGACATTTCGGTTCAGGACAGATTGAAACATCGTCAGTTCTTCACTTTCAGATCTGTGGGTCGGGTGTTACTCCTTCAGCCACATTATTGTGACTCATTATCTACATAAAATTAGTACTGTACTAAAACTGGGGGCTTGAGGGGCATTAAACAAACTGAAACAAGTGTACAGCAAGCAACACTGACTAACCTGTAATGTCTGAATTGAAGGAATCTTCCAAATGGGCGATGTAGAACACAGCTACTCATAAGAAAAGTAGCTGGAATGGTCCCTGAAAGCAACCATAAATTTGTATGAAGTGTTTGAAAAAACAAATCTTAGCCCAAATATATCCAGTACAGATACCATCATCATAATATACACACACCATTCCTATACAACTTGTGTGTCTAGTACCCCACACACTTCCCTGAAAGTGATTGCACTTTACAAACATGGAATATTTTAAACATGCAAGCCAATCACAATCTTATTTTAATTGACTTAAGAACAGTTCAGCAAGTCTAGGTATACAGTATTAAGAATGAAGTGACGCTGACAGCTGAGTGGACAGCGCTTCGGATTTGTAGTCCTGAGGTTCCGGGTTCGATCCCCGGTGGAGGCGGAGACAAATGGGCAAAAAGTTTCTTTCACCCTGATGCCCCCGCTATCTAGCAATAAATAGGTACCTAGGAGTTAAGACAGCTGCTATGGGCTGCTTCCTGGGGAAAGGGGGGTGTAACAAAAAGGAGGCCTGGTCGAGAACCGGGATGCAGGGACGCTAAGCCTCGAAATCACATCAAGATAAGATGGTTATTCATGCCTGCTAAACTACTGTTTTACCTGAATTTACTTGAGGGCCACGATCAAGTAGTGCAGTGTTTTTCAACCTTTGTACCCTTGAAATAATTCCAGGCCATACATTAGATAAAGACACACAGATTTCATTGTCAACTGAAAGGAGACAATTTCTGAATTTGTTTTTGATTCTGGTTACAATAAAAATTAAAACACACTCAAAAATATATTTAGAAATAGAAAGAGCCTTTTTATCAGTACCTCTTGCAGAACCTTTTGTTACCTTGGTGTGCCACAGCACAGGGGTCGGAAAACACTGCTTTAATGGCTTCAATGAGAATAGGAAGCAGACAGCTTTCAAAAGGCCCCTCCCCCTCCCCATTTGTCCTGATATATGAAATGAAATGTGCCCAACCATTTCTGCCCTGATCAGGGATTGAACCTAGATCCCTTGCGTATGAGGCGAGGACATAGACCACTGTGCCACTGTTTTCCAGGTGTGTGAACAACCAACTTGAAAGTGATAGGTATTATGGTAGAAGAAGACCAACACTACTCCGTTATTCCCTCCCATCTCCAGTGCTTTAAATTTAAATGAAATCTCTAGAGAATAGATGCAAAAACAAAAGTGTATTGATAATAGATTATGCATAACAATGATGATTGTTTATGAATAGCAATCGGATGACGTGGTTTAGTCATTGGAACATTTACTGTCGGAGTAAATGTATTGATGCCTTTTAAAGTCACCATAATGTGGCAGTGTTATGATAACAGAACTCCAAACAATGGATAAAATTTAGATAAATTTTGAATAAAAAAAAAGATCAGGGTTAATACTTGCTTGAAAAGAGGGTGATAGATTTATGGAACACATTGCCATGTAACATGGTAGATGTAGCATTCCATTTCAGGTGTAGGTTCAGACAAACATATTTGACTGAATGTAAATTGGAGCTGGTTTGTATTGGCAAATTGAAAATTTACCATTTCATCTATTCTTGGATTAAATGTTCAAACTGCTATCTGCCTCTCCTTACTGTCACAAGCAACTTAACCTTAATTGTTTCTTTAACAACAGGTTAGTGCCTGAGCAAGTCTCTTAAGCGATTTGTTTTTCCATCAACTCCCAGGACAAAAATATACTGTATACTAAAATACGGCTCTATTTTATTAACCAAATTAAAGTATTCTAACAATAACTCTGATGCATGTTTGATTAACATTCTAGTACAATACATATCTAATAATTAAGAATGAAAATACTTGAAAACAATGGAATATTTCTGTAACCTAATGACATGTGTACATCTGACAAAAGTAATATAACATAACTTAAAACAATATTTCAGCCAAACAGACTAGAGCTAAGAATAGGCACTGTATAACAAATTTTTCTAATATTACAAGGAATTACACTAATAATTTACTTATTAGTTGTGTCATTTTCAATGTTCTCAGAATATGTGTGAAAAGTCCCATAACTTAACAGTTCCATCATCGCTGGCAGAGGCAAGTAGCCCCATTACCGTTGGATTCCATGACACACTGTTCACATCTTCAGCATGTGCCCGAGGTATTGTTAAAATAAGGTCAAATACTGGAGCATTTTTATCCGAATTGGGATGCTCTTTGAAAATACGAATGGCATCATCTCCACACGACGTAGCAATGGCTCCCGAAAGATGGCACCATGCAATGTCATAGATGGTACGATTATGGTAACCAGACAAAGTGCAAACACATTTCCAAACAGGATCTTTGTTTGGTGTGGCAATTCCTTCACTGTTTTCTGGTTGATATTCCTGCCAGATCTTCACTGTACGATCATCAGATGATGATGCCAACCGGTGTCCAGAAGCATCAAAAGCAAGACTCCAAACAGTCGAGTCATGCCCATTCAAAGTACAAAATGTAGCCCAGTCATCAGAATCTTCTTTATATAGTTTGATACTGTTGTCATAGGAAGATGATGCTAAAACATCTGCATTTGGATGAAAAATTACTTTTTTAACATCCTGAGTGTGGGATGGCAACACAGAGACACACTCGTACTCGTCATCCTCGCCAACTTCCCATACCCACACTGACTTATCCCTAGAGCAAGTGGCTAACAATGACCCAGATGCTGACCAAGCAACACTCTTCACTTCATTTTCATGACCTTCTAGTGTTGCAATACAATCAATATCATTAGTTTTACAGTCCCAGATGTTGACTGTGGCGTCAAAACTGGCTGAGGCCATGTTCTTTCCACAAGGAGACCAGGCCACACATCTTACAGTGCGTGAGTGGGCTTCACTTAGCACATTCTTACAAATCCATGAATCCCCTTCCTTTGCCCAAAGACGAATAGACCGATCAGATCCACACGAAGTGAGGATTGTGCCTTGGGGGTTCCACGATACATTCCACACTCGGTCCTTGTGACCTGTCAATGTTTCCAGAGCAGTGGCCATCCTTCCTTCTCACCAGTCTGGAAGAAGAAACAATGTCATGTGGACTTGCAATGCATTTGCCATCACCGACAGTAAGCTCCATAAACATGTACAGTACATTATAACTGTCTTTCCTTTGAGTATCCGTTTTAAAAAGTTGTATTATACACCTACATTTTATTAATCCAGCGTCAGGTTACCTAGTACTGAAGTCATCTTTCGAGGTCCTCATGACCTCATCCAGTGTCAAGTCACCCGCCAACACTGGATTACCAGCGATAAATATAAAACACCTTTACAGTAGTAGTAGTGAGTATACACCCAGTACTAAGGTACTTGCTGCCTATCTAGTAAAAATACCTTAAAAGGTCCCTGTCAGTGTTGAGGCACATAGTACAGGGGTATTACACACACACAGATCATTAAATTCAAATGCCATACTATTGGCTGGGAACTGACCATTTTGTTTAAGGTTGTCCAATCTAATGGGCCATTTTCATAACCTGACAAGCATGAAATCAGAGGAGAAATACTGCTACGGGTTGACCCAGATGTAACCTGCTGCCCCTGACACCGGTCCAGCGGGCCGCCTCGGACCACACCACAGACCACACCATGGGCCACACCACGGACCTCACCCCGCCACACACCATGGGCCACACCACGGACCTCACCCCGCCACACACCACGGGCCACACCACGGATCACACATACCTTAACCCTTCCTGCCCGAAACGCTGTGTGTACTAGTGGCTTTACAAGATTGTAAACACCATGTTATGTATCCTCACAAACCCAATGTACCTTCTTGTATAAATAAATAAACCCTAGTAAAGTTACAACCACGCCAGGATTGTGACATTCATCACTACAATCTCAGGCAGGCCAGCAGGGTGCCATACATACATACATACATATATATATAAATAATACCTCTTACTCCTGGTACAGGCCACTAGAGATCGTGGCACTCGGGAGGTAAATTCAGGTGAATGTCTCGGGCTGCGGACTAGTAATGCCGGTGAGAAGCCTTCTTCAACGGCCCCGGAGTGATATGACACGTGTCACTTGGTGTTACAAGCAAAAATTGAGAGAAAGAGAGATATATTTACCTTAGTATAGGAGGAGTGAGGTCTCAGCCCTCAGCCACACACACAACAGCTGATTCAACCAACAACTCCCAATCAGTCCAAACTTATTATATTACTTTATTTTATCATTGTTTCCCAAGAAATTAATCTTTTTATTGGACTAATTATTATTAGCAAAACAAAAATAATTAATTCAGAGAAATTGGTGATTACAATTTTGACCAATTTCAAAATATAAAGCAAATAACTGATTGTATATTCAACGATTATCAGATTGGGTCTAGGAATAATAAGGGTTTTATTTTATAAATAATATTTCTGATTATAGCTTTAGAAAGCGTGAAAACTTTATGTAAACGTTTATACAGGAGGTAAGGACCCCCCCGGGGGGCGGTTGCCATGACAACAGCGTCGCGACCCCCACAACCAGCGTTGTAATTAATTTATTTATTTTCCTTTGCAGATCTCCAGATTAATGATGTATTGACACACAAATTGCAATTTCCCATTAAGTAATCCATGGCTCACACAGTTTTTGCAAATATATAATAAGAATCGTATATATCAAAGTCAACAGATTACATATACCTGTATATATAATTTTCATTAAGGTTACTTCTATAATTGGTTCGACAAGATAACACCACCATAATGAAGGTAAGATAACTCTTAGTCAACTTCATTAACAACATTTCATTTATATAGTAGCAATATACTGTAGCGAGTAGCATTTCCCCAAATTTATATAATAAGCATCTGCCTGTCGTTCTTAAAATTTCAGATGAGCTGTGAAGCACCAATGACATAAATTTGGAGTGGGATATAGAAAGATCAGCAAGTACTGACATTATACTATAATATTTTTCGGAATGACATAAGCCTGTTAAATCAAAATAATCTTTACATGTAAATGGTTAATGGTTGAATTAGATGTATGTAGGAGGTGGTCGCAATTCCATCTAATTAGATTACCTAATTCACTTGCAGCTAATTTTCATTGTAGCATTTTATGTTAAATCTATATATATGAGAGAGAATGTCTCCTCTGTCCAAAATTGGAGGCCAGATGCTTGGGGTTAGCCTCACCAAACTTTGAAGGGGGAATGGTCTGGGGTACAGGACGGACATAGGCTGTTTGGGGTTGGTCCTATTAGTCTCATTAAAAAGGGGTTTGGGCTCAAGAATGACCCCCTCCTACATAATTGGTGAAGTCACTAGATTTCCTCACTTGAAAATGATGATCATGAGTTCAGTATTCCATCCCCCTTGCCCTTTTACAGAGAAGGGCAAGGGAGGGTGAGGAGGATAGAGAGAATTGGAGGGGCTAGGGGGAAAGAAAGGATGGTAGAGAGAGGGGAGAGGAGAGTGGATGTTGAGGGAGAGGGTAGGATAGAGTTGAAGAGATAGGGAGGGGGGAATTGGGAGAAGGGGAAAGAGAGTGAGGGATAGGGAAAAATTAACGAGAGAGGGAGAGGAAGACAGGTGCAGCCAGGCACCCTTTCCTTAGCATTTTATAAGTGTAACTTTGTGGGGATATATATTATATATATATATATATATATATATATATATATATATATATATATATATATATATATATATATATATATATATATATATATATATATATATATATATATATATACACAGTATATATATACACACAATACTGTACTACATATACATATATTAATGCATAGCCTTGGAGAAAAGCACAAAATCCATTAGAGTCAATTCTTGGGTCCCCTCCATTGTAGTTTCCATGTTCTTTGTTGAGGCTAGCCTCTCCAAAACTTTGCATGGTGTCTGGTGTTTGTTCAGGGATGGTCATAGGTGGGTTGGGTTAACATGGATGTGTCCTCCCCATTTTACATGAATTGGTAAATTATACTAATTTCCAATCTCACTAAAAATGTTATGTGATGATTATATGTTAGTTTGTTTCATGTGGTTTATTGGTGAAATAATTTGTGTGGTTATAATTATTGATACATAAATGGTATTTAGTTTAATTTTAAATATTATAATTAATCAGTAATGAGTCAGTAGAAACTTAAATTAGTTATTAAACAATTATTTAAGAGTATAATTTGGACTAATACTTTCATCACCTTATATAGTCTATACGAGTTGCTTACAATACTCAAATTTTTTTGTGAAATACAGTAGAGGATAAATAAGCAAGATATAATTATCTATATAAATTTATTGTGCCATCAAAATCCAATAGATAATTGAGTGAACTTCTTTGTCACTGTTTTAAACTCTATAATTTTATAACAGATCCTATTTAATACAATTATAAAGAATTACAGAACTTTTAAGCCATATCAGTTACTATTATTTGTAAGGATGCAGTGCAATTCAACATTTTATTATTAAAAGTTTTTAATATATCTTAGATATGTCAACATTATCAGTAACTGTACAAATAATATTTATAATTAGCTATAGTCACTATACCCTTGGATGCCTTGAAAGATTAGAGTAAATATTAAAAAATAGTCTGTATGCTTCAAATAACTATTATCCATGTTAATTCAGTATAATTTAACAGATTGATAAAATCTATCTCACAATTGTGTCTTGAATGAAATAACCAATTTTCACTACACTCTTCAGCTGCTTCACGTTTATATGTTCCATAAGTTTTATAAATACTAATTGAAATATCTAAAGTAACCCTCTCATCTAAATACAGGGATATTAAAACCAGTCAATTCTGTTAAAGTCTTAAAATTATTCAACTCATGCTAAATATCTAAATAATTTACTCTACTAAATCCTTCGTCTGTCCATTCCTCGATCTCTGCCTGACTTCCTGAGTTTTGTCGTGATGACTTCTCTTGACTACTACCGTTATTCCAACTACTGCTACTACTTATTACTCCTACTGCTATGTCGGCGATGGCAATTACTATGACTTCGACTGCTGCCTCTACTACTTTGACTACTACCACTACTATGGCGACTGAACTGACGACTATACTTGGGGCTTCGACTTAACGATGACCCCCAACCATGGAGCAGGACCAGATGGCAGCGAGGAAGAAGGCTGAGGCGCAACAGCTGCAGATTGAACTGAAATCTGATGACGACTGGACTAGCTTCTGCAAGAGACCAGGACTCTTGGGTAAGTACTTAGTACAAGGGGACAAAGAATTAAGTACTTTTGTAGAGAACTCGGGATGGGACCTTCACAGTATTGTATCCGGCCCTTGGGCTCATAAAGAGCATGAAATGACCTTGTGAGCACTTGTTGGATCTGTGAAGCACCTATATGGCTACGCTTGGGAGTACTATACTGTACCTGATGGCTCCTATGAGCATTATGGAGCACTCCCAGTACTCTTGGGAGTACCTGTAGGTGGCTTGTGACATAACTCGCATTATACTCCTAAGTAGTGGATTTCCAGGTACATAATGCAGTATCACAGTTGATACCACAGCTACCAGTACATGCATTTTATTTTTAGTCTGTATGGGACATAACATTCATCACATTTAACAGTGGAGTCTTAGCATATTTAGCAACCTAAGAATTTCCATTACATTTCGTTAATACCGTTTCCAAAGTTATTTTTTAACATGAGGCTGCGTATGTAATTCCTCTCCAGGATCAATTTCTTCCTCAATGAAGTGTCTGGTCTAGTTGTCTCCCACTGTAGTGTTCCCTTGCTCAGACCTCTAGGCTAGTTGCCTTGTGTGTCTGCTGTGTTATCATGGCCTCTCTTCTCCCCTCAGTGGTGGACGTGTACAGTGAGTGGTGCGGGCCCTGTACCAGCATGACTGGCCACCTCAGACGCATCAAGCTTGAACTGGGAGATGAGTACCTCACCCTGGCCATGGTCAGTTTTTCCTAGCAGTTAAAAATACATAGAATATATCCACTAGGTTTAAGTGTTTTGTTTAAAATTGGCTATACTTCTGTAAACTAATTAATTTATATATATACTGTACTGTAGAAAGAAATTTTGCATTATTATGTTAACTTTAGGACTTTCTTTAAATGCTATGTGCATTGGTTGCTTTTAAAGAACGTTAATACCAATGCTTTCTCGGCTAATAATGTCCACACTTTGCATGAAATTTAATATCCACTTGCTTTGTCTTACTTTTTTATTTTTATTGCTGTCAACTATGTTGTTTACTGAGGAGCTCCTACAGGCTCGGTCTGACACCATTGAAGCTCTCATCAACTTCAGAGGAAAGGCTGAACCAACATGGATCTTTCTCGGGGTCAGTCTCACAGTTATTACCCATTATCTGTTTTAGTTGTAACATTTGTAAAATGATATATACTGTATGTATGTGTATATATATATATATATATATATATATATATATATATATATATATATATATATATATATATATATATATATATATATATATATATATATATATATATATATATACAGTATATATATTGGCAGCCTCTTGGTATACTTTGCAGTCTGGTAAACCAATGGCAGTCATCCACGGTGCTGACGGTCCCCAGCTCCTCACCACCATCAGGCGACTGCTTAAGGTGGAGGTTGCTGCCCTCAAGGGTCGTGGTGACCGTCAGGTGGTGAGTACTAATGCATAATGCAAGATCTAATAGATGCAAGATCAAGATCAGGTAAATTGGGTAAAATATAGCAAGTTCGAGTAAGTTGAGGCCGGACTTTACCCCCACCCCAGTGCAGTAACTCCACTCTGTAAGCGGCGCTGAAGAATCTCTTCACTCTCGCCTAAGTTCATTAATTTGCCTATATGAAAACATATAAATATACTGTAATGCCAAACACTGCTACAGTAAATGGTTAATTAACTCCCAGATGGTGAATTGAGGTCAGTAACTCTGCTCCCCCTCACCCCACCTCCTTTGGGTCAATAATCCTGCCCTGCTACCTCCTCTAGGTCTTGCTGGACTCCCTGGTGAAGCCTGAGGAGGTACTCGAACCTGACGAGGACCTAGATGATGTGGAGGGTGAGCTGCACAATTTGGGTACGTGGCAGGTATTTTATGTACATCAGATGGTGCAAGTGTGTGTGTGGAGTGGCAGAGATGTGCATCAGTGTGTGTGGAGTCGCAGAGATGTGCATCAGTGTGTGTGGAGTGGCAGAGATGTGCATCAGTGTGTGTGTGGAGTGGCAGAGATGTGCATCAGTGTGTGGAGTGGCAGAGATGGCAGGGGGAAGAACTGTAAATGAGAGAGAAAGGGGCATGACAGATGTCCTTGAGAAGGAAGAGTTGCATTCTTAGCTTGTCAGATTACAGCAGGACACCAAGTGTGAATAGCTGTACATGGTGAATATCAAAATATGCATTAGCTCCCATTTTGAGCCCAATTTCACTTTTAACAATAATTGCTTCAAACCTCTCAATTACTCTATGAATAGACAACTAACAAAATAGTTTCATAATGTAAACTTGAGATATAACATACATTTTATATGTGTATATTTACAAAATATTTGATAAATGTACATTTATTATGCTACTAACTACTGATGTAATTAACACAATGCTGACAATAAAATTTCAACTTATTGTACATACTCCTTCCCACCTCCATACTTTACCTTCCCTCAAGTTCAATGTGGCAAGGTCTATCCATACCTATTGCTCACATCAAACCAATTGAACTGCAACAGATGACAGCGAAGAGAACTCTGAAGCAGAGGAGCCAGTGCTGCAGCAGGGCGTGCTCTTCATCCTCCCACACATTATCTCTCAGGAAAAGGCCGAGACCTTCCTCTCCAACGTGGTGGCCGCAGGTGAGGTGACAGTGATGATTGATACATTCGTTACACTGCACCTGTGCTATATATACCCTGTTAGAGACAAGTAATTATCAAGTTTGGAGACAAACTCCTAACTAAAAATTTGATATTGGTCCCCCTATTCAAAGGTTTTCCAAACCATAGCTTAAATGTTAGCCATGTGATGTGCAAATCAACAGTGCTACAAAAAGAAAGAAAATCTTTCTATTTTAATTTTGTTCATCTACATCCTTTCATAGGCAGTTAAATTTAATTCCTACTGGAAAATCCCTTAATACCACAATTAATTTCCCCTTTCATAATGAAAAAAAGTTTAATTTGTCATCATCTATCTTGCAGGATTTGAAATTGCTGGTCATGTACAAGAAGAGCTTACCCGGGAAGAGCTCCACGACTTCCTCTTTCCTCCAGAGCCCGAAGTGGTGGAAGAGGAGGCGGAGGTAGAAGAGGAGGTGGAAGACAGCGCCGAGAACATGGAGGAGGAAAGTGGTCAGGATGGGAAATCTGATGACGGTCCTTCTGATGACAACTCCAATACTGTCAAGGTGACCCTTATGTGTCTTAGTAAATTCTTGCCAGGTCTTGTTATTTTTCTTCTTTTATTATTATCACAACCCTTGCTTTATGTCTTATCAAAACAAACGCATATAATTATAATTCATAATTATTAATGTACTGAATATCAATATAATACATTGTTCAGCACAATTTGTTTTAATATGCATTCACCATCTCTACTGGTTGTGTGATTACCTTTTCTAGTTGTATTTTAAAGAATAGTTATGTCCTAATATCAATAGCTAGAATGTTCAATGCAGTTTATTAATCATAAACTGTTTGTATGTATGTAACAGTCTCCGTGGAGTAGTGGTAAGACACTCGCCTGGCGTTCCGCGAGCGCTATGTCATGGGTTCGTATCCTGGCCGGGGAGGATTTGCTGGGCGCAATTCCTTAACTGTAGTCTCTGTTTAACGCAACAGTAAAATGTGTACTTGGATGAAAAAACGATTCTTCGCGGCGGGGATCGTATTCCAGGGACCTGCCTGAAACGCTACGCGTACTAGTGGCTGTACAAGAATGTAACAACTCTTGTATATATATATATAAAATAAAATAAAAAAAAATGTATGTATATATATATATGCGAACAAGCCAGAATGGTCCCCTGGACAATATGCAACTGAAAACTCACACCCCAGAAGTGACTCGAACCCATACTCCCAGAAGCAACGCAACTGGTATGTACAAGACGCCTTAATCCACTTGACCATCACGACCGGACATAATGAGGTGATAGCCGAGGCTATTTGAACCACCCCACCGCCGGCACTCGGATAGTTATCTTGGGCATAGCATTTTACCAAATCACTTCATTCTTAGGGGCACACGTGAGGAACACAAATGCGAACAAGCCAGAATGGTCCCCTGGACAATATGCAACTGAAAACTCACACCCCAGAAGTGACTCGAACCCATACTCCCAGAAGCAACGCAACTGGTATGTACAAGACGCCTTAATCCACTTGACCATCACGACCGGACATAATGAGGTGATAGCCGAGGCTATTTGAACCACCCCACCGCCGGCACTCGGATAGTTATCTTGGGCATATTATGCTATGCCCAAGATAACTATCCGAGTGCCGGCGGTGGGGTGGTTCAAATAGCCTCGGCTATCACCTCATTATGTCCGGTCGTGATGGTCAAGTGGATTAAGGCGTCTTGTACATACCAGTTGCGTTGCTTCTGGGAGTATGGGTTCGAGTCACTTCTGGGGTGTGAGTTTTCAGTTGCATATTGTCCAGGGGACCATTCTGGCTTGTTCGCATTTGTGTTCCTCACGTGTGCCCCTAAGAATGAGGTGATTTGGTAAAATGCTATGCCCAAGATAACTATCCGAGTGCCGGCGGTGGGGTGGTTCAAATAGCCTCGGCTATCACCTCATTATGTCCGGTCGTGATGGTCAAGTGGATTAAGGCGTCTTGTACATACCAGTTGCGTTGCTTCTGGGAGTATGGGTTCGAGTCACTTCTGGGGTGTGAGTTTTCAGTTATATATATATATATATATATATATATATATATATATATATATATATATATATATATATATAATGAATAATATTTATATTACAATAGAGTACAGTACTGAAATTTGGTTTACATGTTAAATTGCAGTAACTGAAAGTGAGGTTTGTTGATCAGAAATGTGAACTATGCTCTTATATAACTGAAATCAGGTATAAAAAGTAATGGTTAAAGCCTCTTATTTATTTTTGTGTGGGCTTTTTCTGATAACCATGAACTAGGTCATTTAATTTTCCTAGACGGCAGGAGAGGAGGAGGAGTCTGCAGGTGAAAAAGAAAGTGTGGGAGAGGAAACAAGTGAGGGAGGTGGAGATGGGGACACTCAAGATGACCTTCAGCACTGGGAGGAACAGCTCAGTCATGGACCTCTCTATATGCTCCTCCTCAAGTAAGTTTGCCAAATAAAACTCTTCTCCCCCTTCCTGCATCAATGCACTTAAAATAGTCAGTCCAGCAATGGCTTCACTTATCAAATGCCAACTCAGCAAGAGCAGGGTCAGCATTTGATAGCTAATGGTCCAAGTGGTTGGGCACTGTTTCTTTACTTCTATCTCTTCCAAGTGCTATGCAGTATACCAGGTTGTCAGAGTACTTTTTCCCTGGTAATTACTTCTCATTTGCCTTGATCACCATTAATACCTAACTTGCCCAGTCACTTTAGCCTCGCTGGCATTTAGTAAATACCGAATGATATATTATTTGGTGCAAGATAATGAGGGCTAGATTGACTTCATGGAAAATAATTGTTATCTGTTAGGTACCTAGTTATTGTAGACTTGATATAGGCATTTTATAATTGTATATAACAAAGTATAAAAGTATATTGTGAGTTATGTTAGTGTTGACATGAATCACTAATGTACTGTATTTGCAAATAACTTTTTATACAAGGCCACCAAGTTGTTTAACATTTCTGGGACAAGATTGAAAATACAGTACAGTATTCCTAAAATAAATTGTCTGTAATGGTAATGTAAATAAGTAATTATCAAAAGAAGACAGAAAGCCGGGAAGGCTATATAGCATCATCAAATATGCGGAATAATCATAGGGCGCTAAATATCACCAAGGATGCCAATATGAGAACAGAAATGCATAAGGCGAACGATATCAAAAGCATCCGATTCACCAAGAATTAATGGTAATGCAAGCTTGTAGACTGTCTTAGTAAATTTCTGAATTTATTTATGAGATGATTGAGAGTAATGAATATTTCAGGGTGGAAGAAGGATGTGTGGTGACTGCTTGGTACCAAGTGCTGGGACCTCAGGACCTGGAGACAGCTTCCCGTGACCAACCAGAGTCGTGAGTGTTGTGCCAAATTTCGTACAACTACCATACTCAACACGTCACATGATGTGTGCCTGGAGAGCTGCTCTTGCAAGTCATATATTGTTTGAAACACTTAAGTATGTTACTCTCATTAGCTGATCTCTACAAAATATCATAGATCCCAATACCACCTACATTCCCATAAATAACCTCAAAGGGTTACCAAGACCCACATTCACCTACTGACACAATCAAAATACCAATTTTGTTGATCCAAGAGGATATTTAGTGTACAGTATTCAGATAGTGATTTCGAATATAATTTAATAGATTAGTTAAAAAATATGGTTTAAAGTGGAGATGTTTATATGGGTAAGGCTCTAAGGGCCTTGTACAAGCACACTACAGCAAACACAAAGACAGTTATTTTTCCAAGTCATTTGCATGGAAATCTGTCGCTGTTAAATACACAGTTTCTCCACAGTAGGTACTGCTGTACAGGCATGTGATTGTAATGTTTTCACTACTCCTCATTGGATGGGTGTGGGGTGCATGATAGGCAAATTAAAATTATGTGCAACTAATCCTAGGTACATTGACTAGGTAGGGCAATATGAAGCTGTAAACAATAAAGTTATGCTGCAATAAACATAATTGTGGCCATCTTTAAGTTCAGTTTCATGCTACAGGTTAGTGGCTCAATTTGGGGAGGAGGAGCATGTGGTGCCCGCCTGGCTGCCTCGGGGACGTGCTCTCCAGGAGCGTCTAGCCTCCAGGTTCTTCCCGCCGCCTCCAGATGCCTCTGTGCCTAGGCTACTGCTACTGCCAGATACCGATCATCACCAGGTTAGACATCGCAATTTCCTAAACTTTCAAACCTAATGGGCATGGTAAACATTTCCTAATACTGTATTGATAAAACTTCACACCATATTTTTATTATACAGCATATTTAATTCTTAGGCAAAAATGGATTACTATTTTGTGTGTGTCATTTTAAAAACCTTAGAACTTCTCAGCAAACTTACACTGACAGACTGCAGTTTAAGAGCAAAGCTTAATTAAAATATCAACAGTTCCAGTTAAAATTAAACAAAATTGAGATATACGGTATGTAATATATACTGTACAATAAATTGGCAGGTCCTACCGTAAATTCTTGCATGAAAAATAAGGATTCAGAACCGTATATATATGAACAAACATTTCCTTGACAGATTTACCTTTCGTGTGGTATGAATAGTGAATGTTCTCAACATCTTGTCTTCGTATTTCACTTATATGCGTGATGCATATTTTTTGTTCTATTTTATATCGAAAGTTATTAATGATAAAAAAAAATATAATACAATAATATATAATTTATATTGAAAGCTAACCGAGTTGGTTAGCATTTTCATTTACATTGATTTTTCAGTTCAAAATACAGCTTCGTATTTGTTTTTATTTACTACACTGAACTATGATAGCTAATGAAAATACTACAAACTCGTGTACAGATGAAACTTACATTAGATTATAAAAGTTTGTGTTCTATTTGAAGTTATTTGGAATATGATCCAACAGAGATCTTCCTGCAGATTAGAGATATTCTGTGATATTGGTAATGTTAATAAGACAGTACCAGCATGTCAAAATATTGGCATCTGTGCACCTTGACTGCAGATAGGATACTTCTGTTGCATAGCAAACCAATTTTTAAACATTTTTTTATGCACACGTTGCATTGGGCAGGTTTTGGAGAAGATGAGTGTGGGTGGCGTGCGAGTGTTGGCCCACACACAAGCTACACTGCAGCAGGAAGCTCTTCAGAGTATCACCAGTCTTGCCACTTCTCAGGAACTTGCCAAAGTCATTGGGTAGGTCTTCGTGCAGCCTTGTTTTACAGTCTATACGTCATTCGCTTCCCCCTGTAGTCACAATTAGGTAAACAATACTCTATATTGCAGTATGTCATCCCAAAAGGTCCGTCTCTATGATAAGCTTGTGTGTGTGCATTACCACAATCATCACACCGGTTGCCAGTATTATACAATCTAATTCAATTTTTTTTTTTTATCTTTGCTTTTCACATACAGTACCAGTTTGATAAAGCACTATACATTTCATCATACTGTACAGTATAACTAGACTAAGACCACTTAAACATCTTTTATTAACCAGAATTGAAGTGATACTTTTTATTTAAAGTATTATGATACATTATTAAAAAATTGTCGGGCATAACAACACTGTACAATTTCTTAAAAGAATTGATACCAGAGTCCATGTAACAAGATTTTTATTTGTTTTCAGGAATGTAGTGCTGGCTGTGGTTTTGACAGGAGAAGGAATTGAGGAATGTGTAGCAGAATTCTCACCCTTGTACCTCACCCAGGACACGACCAGTGCCCAGGCTGAAGTGGAGTTCTTTTTTCCCGACCTCCTTGTTGCCCACGAGCACCAAGACGAGCCCCAGACACAGATGCAGATTGAACAGAACAAGGAAAGCAATGCAAAGTGAGCAATCTCATTTTTAAGAAATGTGGACCATTAAAATGCAATCAATAGACCATTGCAGTCTATAGATACTGTATGCCAACTTCCCATATTTTGTTGTTATCCTGTTCACACAAGCTTCTGGTGTGAAGGGTGTGTTGGGATTAAAGGAAATGAAACAGGCTAGAGAGTAGATTTTAAGTAAGCCTGGCAGTCTGGAAGATTAGACTATTGTTGTGGCAAAGATGGAATGAAGAATTAAATATATGAGGAAGAGTTTAAATTCTTCATTACCAAGAATTTTAGAACAAGTGACAAAACTCCTATCTAATTTAACTTGCTTACAAAAAAAAAAATATGCAAACACTAACATTGTTTTCCATGGAATAGCAAAAATGACATATGAAACTACATCACAATATCTCATTGTTACTACTCACAACACACAACTTCACTGAATTTGCACTTTTCCAACATTGTGCACTGTAGCGATTACACAAATCATTAATTTAATAAAAACTTTAACGTAATAAAATAACAGCATTTGAAGATGTATAACAATACAATAACGTGCCTCTGACCTCTCCAGACACCTCGGAACCTCATGGGCATAGTGCTGAAGATTGGTGACCTTAAAATGTTTAAATATAAAAAACTAATAAAAGAATGCAACTTAACACTAGTAAAAATCACAGAAAGAAAGGGTTGACATTGAAATACACTATCTAGTTATTTCTATCTTGGAACGTACATTTCAAAACTATTATTCATGAATGCAGAGAATGTCACAATGTGGCTAAAACTAGTAATCCACCCCATACACAACAAATATAATGAAAGTGGCAATGATTTAGTCGATCCTGGACCTTTATTATGCCAGGACAAACTGAAACGTTACTCGCTACACGTGTGTGGGTCAAGTTACTTCTTTACTAACCATGAATAATGTTTTGCAATATTGGCTTGTCACTTTAACAATGGTCATATAACCCGGACCTCATTGATGGTTATCTTGACCAAGGTTATGAAAGGCAATACTTTATGATACAGTGCAAGTATTTGGTTTCATATGTTAAATACTGTATATTAAATAAAACGCCTTAAATATTGATAACCTCTATGTTTCTCTATATATTGTTGTTGGCCCAGATGTGTGTGCAGTTCAAACTAGTGGTAACCTTGACGAGTCTTACTTGAAGCCAAGGTGCAGCATCTTGCGCACATATTTGGGTCCTTCCCAGTATCCACTGAAATAAACAGAAATACTGTACTCGGCTGTCAAATAAAGACCAACAATTTAATACTTTTAAACTTCCCCATTTTATTAAGTGCATGTATTCAAGTTTAAATGTATGGAATTTTATCATTTAGAAAAATTATTGCACTTTTAAACTCCTAAATACAATGCCATTCTCTAAGAGCAATGTAAGTAAGTAATTATCATAAGAAGGCACCAAACCGGGAAGGCTGTGTAGCACCATCAAATGTGCGGAATAATCAGAGAGCGCTAAATATCACCAAGAATGCCAATACGAGAACAGAAACGCACAAGGCGAATGATATGAAAAGTATTCGATTCACCAAAAATTCTATCGAGGGACAAGTGACCGTGAGGGACGGTCGGAAAGCAACACATATGCTCGTCCTGGAAGTCGGGACATTCAACAAGGATATGTACGACTGTAAGAGGGACAATGCAATTTGGACAATAAGGAGCAGGGCGGTAAGAGCATTGTAAGTTATGATACTTATTTGCCCAAGTCATTTTCTGTAGTCCCAACTTACTCCATATTTCTCACAATCAATATTTTGATCATACTCCAATTTGTGCTCCCTATTTTCTCACTATTCTTTCTGCTGCTACCCTATCCTCCTCAGACATGTCCTGGATAATGTACACCTCACTGAATACCAGTCCTGCAATTTACTATTTTCTGTTAGTACAGTACTGTACTGTATACACTTCACTGGGGTATTCTGAAAGGTTTCCTTCACTGATCAATTTCATCCGATGCAAACCCTCCCTAACCTCCAAATGTTCTCCATTTTCTTGGGCGATTTGCTAACCTACCCTTTGCTGAGAAATGTTGCCAGGTCTTGTTAACCTGGTTGATGTTGCTATGCCTCCCTCTGACTTTCTTGATAAATTATCACATATACCTCCCTCTCTAGAGCCCGGCTAATACATTTCATGGTCTGCTTGATTCTTACAGCCTCCATCACAGTTTGATCTATGAACTGCATTATCTTCTAACTTTCAGTTGTTTCTGCAAAGGCCTTTTTGTTGGGCCTGTTCTCTACTACTCTGTATCAACCTCTATTTTGTTCACTCTTTTGTATATTGCCTTTGTTTCTTCTTTAGCTGTTAATCCTGTTAATTTCTCTCAATCTCAACTTCCTGCATGGCTGAGAGGAGGTTGCACCCAAGCTGGTTCAAAATTGTTCTCGAGAAGGATACTACCACAACCTAACTCCAAAGACAGTGGCTCTGGCCTAGGCTTAAACCCCAGACAAAGGAACAGAACTCCTACCTCCTTTATCTCTCATTAATTCCTAATAAAGAAACCAGTTAATAGATGACATCATAGATTATTCAAACTGATATTATTTCATAAAGCAAATGTGCCACAATTGCTTTGGTACCAATTAAATATTAAATAGATTCCATATTTATATTGGCTATAGAAAAGGATACATAATTATGGCTAATTCCTCCTCGATAATGCTCATTTTAAACTTCTCCCATTTTGCTCCAACCTCTCTTGTATGCCTATATATTTATGCTCAAGTTTATCAAGTGAAAGACTGGCTGACAATATACCGTGTCTTGCTCTACTAAAACACATACAGGGTATACTGAAATATAAAAAGATCAATTCACTTACTTCAGCAATCCAAGCCAGTACATATCAGGCAACACGTCCTTTTTAAAATGGAACATAAGACGTCGCTCCTTTGCTTGGTTGATTGGAAAAGTTTCTAATGGATTCCCATTCATGTCAAACTCTGCCATAATACATTTTGAATACCCTGTGAAAATGGAATATAAAAGATCTGTAAATACACAATTTACATAGCTTTTCAACATTCTCTACTGTAAAGAAATATTAATATAAATCCTATCTGTGTTTCATATGCAACTCCCTTTAAGAATGCAGCAACAAAAAATTCCACTACATTGTTCTTTACAAACTCCTCTCTAATCTGTTTCAGTCCACCAACACTTCCTTCCTTCCAAAGCCTTTCTGCATTTCCTTTCCCAGGATAACAGGGTTCACCTTTCTCTAATCAGCAGTTAGTTAACTCCTGTACATACTAATGTACTTCATGTCTGGAATTCTTCCATACAATTCTTACTTCTATATATACTGTACATGCATCTTCCTTTATGTATGGCATATACAAATCATCATTAAAGGTGTATCTCTTTTTCCATCCCTAGTGTACAGTAGCAATAAGAGTAATATGAAAACTACTATACAGTCAGCCCTTGCTACAAGTATGTTCAGCATGTAGAATCTGCTATATACGAGCTAGACACGTACGTCACACACACAAACATTGCCCGAATACTAGCACCGAGTCTGTTAAATGGGTGTTGGCACAGGATCATGCCTTTTAAAAACCTTATGCAATGCATTCTAATATCATGGCACCTTCCAAAACTCTGCAATATCTGCCAAAATTCCAAATTTCACCATACCTCTTAGTGCCTTTACTGTCCATTCACAATCGGGGATTGTAGGTTCAATTAATGGTCAGGACAAATAGTTGGGAATGTTTCCTTTCACCGAATGCCTCTGTTTACCTAACACCTGCTGCTTTGATGTTGCATCCTGGGAAAGGTCAGTACAGTAGTTCGACGTAGTGCTGAATATAGGCCTAAAGTATATAATGTACATAGGCCTCCTATCAAGAATTATTGAAAGAGGTAATGTTTACATATACATCTTTATCGAGTACATTGATCAATAGTACTTTATGCAGTATATTTGTGACTGTAAAGTGTATGTGGTAATAATGTTGAGAGAGAGGCAGGGAAGGAAGCGACTGGGAGGCCTGTCATGCATCTCTATTTTACCTATTTACAGTACTGTAAGCCAAGTTTGCTTAGTTCCTGTTAATTCACTTATGAGAGGGTCTTCCTACAATATATTCCTTGCACATAGTAAAGGCTGAATGTATGCATGCTCAAAAACACAAACAAAAAGTGCCATATAATACTTATAGTACTGTATAGGACTTACCAGTTACTAGTGGACACGAGGTATAGCCATCATAAAGACTAGTTGGAGCTTTACCTGCTATTACCAAACTCAGATTTTTACGCAACACTCCACACTGGCCAGCTGCATAAAAAATAATAATAAAGTCAATAGCATTAAAAGTACCATTTCTGAGTGACCAAATGAATACTGTACTCCCCAAACCAGGGTTTACCCAGGACACTGCTCACATCCACAACCGTGATAACCTTTCAACCATCGTTTTACAACAATTTAGGAATAAAACCACAGTAGATAGCAGAACTGACATATACCACTCACTATGTGAGTGGTATATGTCGGTGGTATAGTGACATATTTGTGTAACTATGACACAAAAAAAAAACAAATCTAAACCCACTGGCTGCCACCTGACCCTCCACTCCCCTCCAACTGGCAGTCAGGTCATATCACATGGAAGCTGGCCAACCTCACTCAAGACCTAGGGCACTAAACCAGGCTCAACAGGCCAGGGCCAAAATAAAAATAGAAGCAGCCAAGTGGCTGCTCAGAAAGAGGGAGGTTTCAATAATATCAATGCTCTATTTTATGAGTGGCATCACCCTGGTGGCTGTCAAAGCCAACTACCCACAGTAGAAACAGATGTAGGAGAATGATACCCTAGGCCGCACACCGAAGGCAGGCCAGAACACTTATCTGTCGAAGAAGAGGAAGCGACTGAAAGAAAGATATTAGCGCAGAAAAACGAGAAGTATAGTACTCTGCCTCCAAAGGATACCTGATCAACCAGGCTGTGACTCGTACGTCAGGCTGCGAGCAGCCGCGTCCAACAGCCTGGTTGATCAGTCCGGCAACCAGGAGGCCTGGTCGACGACCGGGCCGCGGGGACGTTAAGCCCCGGAAGCACCTCAAGGTAACCTCAAGGTAACCTCTGTACAAATGAAAATCAGACTGAATAATCCAATAAAGTATACCCAGAAGCACCTCAATAAAGTGCAACACAGGCAAGCAAAGTAGTGCTTAGTAGTGCAAAGTAGTGTGGTGGACCAAACTCTTACAAGTCGAGCCTGGTCTCGGGCCGGGCTTGGGCAGTAGAAGAACTCCCAGAACCCCATCAACCAGGTATCAAGCAGTGCTAAAATGCCACAAAACCAGCAAATAACAAAAATGTAGCATGATCTATGCAATGTAGCATAGCATGAGTTTACTTTGTGGTTTGCAGAGAATTTAATGGGCATCCTTATGTTGCAAATTATATATTTATGTAAGTTTTGAAAGATTTGGTAACATGGTATCTGGCATGATAGCAAGCCACATCTCCCGAGTTATGCTCCTCTCATCATTGTTTTCTTACTCCTGGACTATACTGTATGGCAAGTTCATCTGAACAGCTACTTGTTGCCGTGGTGCTTGAAGTTAGCGAGAGCCTAGTGTGTGAGCACTGTCCTGGATGGAACCTAACTTTAGCTTGAGGAGCAAGTTAGGTAGGGGGTCCTTTTCAGAAACACTGTTTATAATGGTGGTAATGATGACATCAATAATAATTGATGTCATTATTACCGCCATCAATAGAAATAATATTAATGCAATACTTAGTAATGTATTAATAAATATAGTACATACTATAAATACAATACTCTGCAATATTATTAATACTGTACACGATACTTATCGACTGCTAAGAATAAATGACACATTTTCTCTAGACTCTTAAAATGGTGCATTTCTGTTTAAGAATTACAGACTACAGAAAAACTAAAATTCCAGTGCAACTACAGTAATACAAACCAACAGCTGCAGCAGTTTTAGAAGTTGGCACATTTGTACAATCTCCAATGCCAAAAACATTTGGAAATTCTACATGTTGGAGAGTTCCCTTGTTGACATTAAGATAACCTGCAGCATCTACCAGAGAATCACAATTACGAAGTGAATCTGGGGTACTCATTGGAGGCGTCACATGAAGCATTTCATACTGTAAAAATAAAAAAAAGCATCTTCAATAACCCGAAAAAAGCGAGCACTGTATGTGTGTAACCCTACCTAACCAACCTTACCTAACCAACCCTACTTAACCTATCTTAACCTAACCTAAACTAACATAACTAAGTCAATAATTTAGGTTCTTAATATAATATAATAATAATATTTCAAATAAACCAATTGGAAACAATTAATTGAAAATAAAGAAAATTACTCGGCCTATTAGGCAAATCGGGCCTTGCATAGTAGGCCGAGACATGCGTTCTGGCTACTAGGTATTATATATATACATACATACATACACATACACACACACACACACACACACACACACACACACACACACACACACACACAGTAATCTGAAAATTATCTTACTTTGAATGTTGTTAATTCATCTGGCTTGTCTAGATTCTGAAAGACAGCTTCCTTAGAATCTGGCTTCACTTCAATTAAGTTTTGGCGAAGATTCACAGTTATGTTTCTCTCCTTCACAATCTGATATTAAAATACAATAATCAATACTTGTGTAGAACAGCATACAACTTATTATATTATAGTACCTCCAATTAGGGCATTTTTGAAGGTTAACATAAGAATTGCATAACGACTGTTGTGAACAAGCATGCAGTTGGACGTTGTAAACGTCCTTATGTGCACAAATGCAAATACTCCACGTACAGAATGTAATATGCAAATAATTCATAAAAGGTACACTTATAATTAGTTTAGCCATATGATCTTTTAGAAAATACTATAGTAACTTATAAGGCTTTATGACTCGTAATTTGACTAAATGTTACAGTATTTTCAAAGTTCCTATAAATACTGGACAGTTAAATACTTCACTGAAAAAAAATATCCTTGCAAAGTGGCAGATTAAGAACATATACAGATGAAACCAAGTTAATACAGTATTGTGGAATCGGACAATAATTGTCTGAACTCAAAACGCCCTAAAAATAACCAAGAGCCTAAACTAACACCAATACCAATACACACCTTTTATCTACTGGCGTTACAGTATTGTACTGTATTGTACAGTATTGTACTGACCTCCCATAGTGCATCAGCGTACTTTTTGACACCGAAGATGACTGGCAGTGAAGTGTTGTAAATTATATTTGCCTTGTCCCGCTTGCCATGCTGTTTTGAACACATTCGTATAAATACTCAACACATGTATTGTATATTTAGAAAATATAGCTAGACTGGAGGTATTTAGCTTTAATGTTATCACTGGCATTACTGTAATATCAAAATATTTGTTCCCATTCATTCCTCGTCTTTTTTTTTTTTTTAAATAGTGTATAGTACTAAATATTGCACATAGTAGCTCAATGTAACTCATCGTGTCAATGAAGACTTATATTAGCAGCAAATGGATAAGGAAACATTGTGATGAATTTTGGGAGTATCAGCCGATGGCACTTTATTACAAAATTCCTTGATAGAAGCAATACTTTCAATCTAGCAAAAACTAAAATCTGATTAAGATAGAAATGAAGTTTGAAGCAATTTTCTAAATCCATCAAAAGGGGCATGTTGTGTAAGTTAACAAAAAAATTAAGACAAGGTTCAGAAACAACTGTCAGAGGCATACAGTACTAGTGTACCCTGAAGACAGTAGCACACAATTATTTCTCAGAACAAATGGCCAATTAGTTAATTTAACAGAACCCTAAATTACTTATTAAAATATGCTTTATTATAACAGCAATAGATTTCATCAGATACAATAAAAATAACAAATTATTACCTTGCGAAAGTATTCCTCCGATATGTACATAGCTTTCTGAGGAGCTCCAGCACACTTTATTGGTGTTGCGGGGAAGCTGAAGATAGCATTGCCTTCACGGAAGCTCTCAAGACTTTTCAAGGTCTTGTTTACATATAATGGAGAATAGTTGGAACAAACACCTGGCGTTTCAAATGCATCTGGCAATCCTTTAATCTGTTAAAAAAAAATTAGCAACTATTAAATTTAAATTAGAATCTTGAAAATGCATCACCATTATAAATACACTATCATTATCATGGGTCAAAGCAGAAATAAAACAAGGAAAATAGAAACACATTGCAGGGAAAAGAATGTTGAAAGAAGAAGCTTCCAACCACATGGGGGTCATTGCTCCTCATGCCTCTCTGAAGGGGCCGGGTTCTGGCTCGTGGTCTCTGGTAGGCTATAATTACAATTAAATTGACTGATGTCACGGTCATACATCCTAGTAGTATAGCTCTGGAGAGCCAGAGAGGCTCTCCACAGAAATGTATTTATATTACATATCTGCCTTTTTTCTACCAGTCCCTTGTTCACTCAACCAGGGATTGGAGTCAATTATGGATGACTCAACAACATTAAACAGTACTGTATCTGTAATTATAATTGGTTCTGACATTCATGATTTCTAACGATAAAAAAATGGGAAGCTCAAGATAAAATACCATGCATTACAGCATTAGATGTTTAGGACTCTGAAACTTCACAAAACGTTTATGTTTATACAGTACAGTACTGTAATTATTCATCACAAAAATATTTCCTGACTCGTGCAAGAAATACTGCAATGGAAAAACTAATAAAATTATATTTTCACCAACCTGGTTGATGCTCTTAGAGTTTACAAACCATTTCATTAAAATTAAAAAAAAAAAAAAAACTCATACTGTACAAGAATAAAATACTGGACAAAGTCCATGAAGATTGTCTCAATGTAATTATCCCACGTGCCATACAGCTTGGTGACAAGAAACTTTGAGATAATCACCTGATGATAGTTGAGTTGAAGACCTACAGCAACAACTAAATATTCATAGCCCACTTCACAACCATCGTCAGTCATAACCTTATTGTTGCTCGGGTCGAAGCTCACAACTCTCTGCTTAATCCATTCTGCTTTTTTGGGAAGCACCTGAAACACCAATACTGTATACAAAAAATGGTAATCACGGCAACATTAAGGCAATAAGCTAATAAATGAACTGAAGTCATCATATACATTAAGCTTTCCCCCCCCCCCCCCCATCATTCTTAAAATATCAAACAAACTTCTAACAATCTACTTGGTTACAATTTATCAGTACAGTATAAATTGTATTTGTTTATGAAAAGTAAATATAAAATTTAATACTATTTTCACATATAGTTGATGAACGTATCCTTGCTTTTTTATGCCACATTCAACGAACAAGCATGTTTACAAATATATCTATGCTGCAGACTAACCTTACTCATTGACTTTTTTGAATCTTCTAGTTTCTTCATCCCTCCTCCCACAAGTGTCCACATGGGTTGGTAGTAGTGTACCTGAAAAACGTGTGCATATACAGTAATGTATACTTCAGAACTTATATTTGGAAACAGGTCTCACCAAACGATATTTAGTGAAAAAAAAATTGGTAAAAACTACTTGACAAACTAATAGAACTATGTACTATGACAAACTAATGCTATGTAACATTCTTCTTAATTTGCACATAATTATTGCATGTGAATACTGTAATGCCTCCATTGCAAAGCGACAACAGAAGACAACTGACGACAAAGACAGCTGCAAGACCAGCCAAGTCTTGCAAACCGGAAAATTGGACGAACATGGACATGAAAGAAAGCCCAACTAAGCTTCAGAATGAAAGGATTTGAGAGACTGAGGCAAAATTTTCTTGAGGTACCATGAGCAGCTTAAGAAGAAGCAATGATGTTAGGTACAGGGTTCCAAAACAGAGCCATGCAAGGAATGATGTGATGAATTGCAGAGAGCAATATATTACTGCAATCTACCAGGAAACCTCATTCTGGTGAGGATAAGAAGCCTAAGATTTTGGATGAGGAACAACACTGCCTGATCTCCAACGAGATGAAGACAAATCCTTCGTAGAAACTTGTGAAAGATACACAAACAAGTTGGAAGTGTTTTAATATTGTGGTTAAATCCTTTGATCCTTGGAATCACAAGGTAGCCATGAGGTAAGAAGCAGTGGTCCGAGGCTTAGAAAAATTGGTCTAACCCGGATGTATTTATACAATTCCTGGTAGGTACTTGGAAATGCTTATCTTTGATGATAATGGAATACAGTAGTCCTAGTTTTCTGTAACTTTCAATAAGCAGATAAACATGCAAAAAGATAATTGATAAACAATGTGATCTTACCATGAAAGGTAGCCTTCCAAAATAGTTTACAAATATTTAAAAATTGCACCATAAATTACAGAAAAACCTTGTGCAAATTCTACCAATACATTATATAGAAATGTAATCATAATAAAGAAAACTGTATATACTGTAGTAGCATACTTACATCAGCAGGTTCAATCACGGCCACTTTCCCTTTTCCAAGTTTGGAAGAAAATTTAGCAGCCGTGGAGCATCCCCCAGCTCCGCCACCCACCACCACCAGCTGATAACTGCCGAATTACAGCAAATTTTAAAAGTAAAACCTAATACTTGACCCTTTCTCATTAGTGTACATATCAACAGTATTCAACATATAGTGCGATTCATTTTGTTTCCTCGCCAGTTGGCATCTAGTCACAAACTAAACCAAAGGTTAGAGGTGTACTGGTAGGAGGCAAACTGGCAGGGAACGAAACAACCAATTACCATTGAAATGAATTTACTAATATTGTAATAAAAACCCAAGAACTAACTTTGGAAGAGTCATATTAGTTACTGAAGTAATGCTTTGAAACAAAATTGGCTTGCCTTTTATTGGATCTGCAAGACGTAGAAAATGTAGCATTCTGAAGTGCTAATTTTGTGTAACGTCCAGACACAAATGGGAAGCCGCGGTGAGACAGCATTCTAGCGACCCTGGAAACCAAGGTGTAGATCCATTTTAAAATAAATATAAAATACAAAAGATGAATAATATTGTATTGTAATGTACCGTATTTAAATACATGGTAAACTCGGTATGTTTTAATTGCAGTTGATCAAGAAAACTATCCCCAAGCTGTTACGTCTTTGGATAGGAAAATAGTGCAATGAAAAAAGTGTGCTGTAATAGGAAGAGGGTAGAGGTGATGGTGGTGATAGTGCTTACCTGTCAGGGAGGGATGTCTAGCTTTATGTCCAGCCTACTAGATGTAGGCTGAACACCTGCACACTTGTACCTGCAGGTATTTTTCTGATATTTTACCCACATTTGAGTTTTTTGTCGTGGGTGGGCGCTTACACAACTTTTCATTGCATTCAACTTTTTGACAACTTGTACTGGGTGGTATAAAGTGTAATTTCATTATATTTTATAGACTTTTTTTTTGCATTTCTAGTTTCCATTTATGTCCTTTGGTCGTACTTTCTCTCACTTTAATAAGGTTGTCTATCTACCCTCTATATTCCTTTCAATATCCCATATGTAGTGATCATGCCCATTATATTGGTGGGGTCTGCAATAATGGTGGCAGTGGTGATGGTGGTGACACCGATGCATACTGGTCACAACATAATTTGTAAGTTCAAACTTATGATGTGCATTTTACATCATAAAGGTAATGTGGGAGGAGGGTCTTGTTTTAACCCCAACATTCAAGGGGTCAAAGATAGGTACAGTCAAATTATATATGGCAATGGTGTTTTACACATTGGGTTGAAAATGTGATACAAGTTTAAAATGTGCAAATAACTAATGTGTGTACGAATAACCAGGTGTATGTGAGGGCAGAAGGGTGAGCACAGGCCCAAGGTGTGTACAATCAATTCATACATTAGAGTTGTCTCAAGTATGACCTAACCATGACCTGTGTTATAATTAAGACTGTATACTTTTTACACAAGACTAGACAAGGTTAGGTTGCTATGTACAAAATGCCCTTCAGTACCAAATTGTGCACAGGATTTCCTATATATTATTGCTCATTTAATTATTGGCAAAGCTACTGTATTGGATACATTATTAGACAAAGCTTAGGTTAGGTTTAGTTATATCTTACATGCTGCAAGTGTTTCAAAAGCTCTGAAATTTTGTAAGCCCTATACCATGTATATCACTAAGTTAGGCTGTGCTAGACTAGGTGAAACTATGCTTTTCACCCACAGGGTTATAAACCCATGGAACCACCTATCCGCCGAAGCCGTAAATGCCAAAACTGTGTTAAGCTTTAAAATCTACCTAGAAAAGAGCAAGGCAAATGGAGGGGGACCTTCAAAGAGCCGCCGGCTTCCTGTCCTCGTCGAGGCCACTAGTGTTAGTGGCCCTCAGTTAAATCGTGTAAATTAGGCAAGGCAGGGTTGGTTAGGCAAGTTTATTAGAACAAAACATATGTTGAACTGTATTATGTACTAAATTGCCTGTACCGTACATGCGGGGGAGGCCAAGGGCACAAGTTGTACATATGGAGTATATACACAGAATGTATGTACACAAGAAGTGTATGAGAAGAAGGTACAGAGAAGTGTACACAGAGCGAGCATACACAAGCCAAGGTCAATGTTGTGATGACGTCATGCCGTGTCCCGACCCTTTCATAATATTTGCCCTCAATTATTTACACAAAACAAAAACAACTTTGTTTTTAACAAAATATCATTCATAACTTTTTTTTCATTATAAATATAGTACCTGTATTCACAATCCTGTCAATGAAAACCGCTCACTGACATTTTGAAAGGAATTTATGAGGGGAGAAACGAACAGTTCCTACTGTGAACCTTTATTAATATTAACTATATAAACATAAGTGTTAATATCCAAACATTATTACCTGCGTGGTAGTGTACGTCAATTAGTCAAGTTAAGCATCACTTTTTCATCTTTTTTTCAAAAGCATAAATTTTTTCCCCCGGAATACGACCCATCATATAGTTTAACCATTCAATGCTGTGCGAACAGAGACTATAAAGTTAAGGTTTGGCACCCAGTCAATCCTCCCCGGGCCAAGCCAAAGCGCCTGGCGAGTGCTTTATCACTACGCCATGGGGACCGCCAATTCTTGTTGTCGGGAGCTAAATGATTTATGGGATTCAGTCCCTGAGCCCATTATGTGCCTCTGTAACCCTTTCCACTACCACCCACAAGACGGGTATGGGGTGCATAATAAGTGAACTAAACTAACGGGACCCTATACATTATGGTTATGGAGGACCCACTAGGTCAACCTAACCTATTCCAAAGATGCATCCTCACAATTTCCAAACTATTATTTACTGCTAAGTAAGCTTAGTCATTAAGTTAAACTTAGGCGAAAGAAAACGTGCCTAAAACCTTCTGTCCCGGAATCTGTGGGAGACGCGCGATTATTACGTAACAGGAAATACCATGTATGTATTTTGAAGGTCGAGCGAAACAATTTAATTTCTTTCTATATTATGCACCCCATACCCATTCCGTGAGCGGTGGTGTAAAGGATTACAGAGGCACATAATCGGTTCAGGAACTGAGCCCTCCAAGTACACACAATGGCAAAATTATTTTTAACGCGCTTTAAAGTAAAACTATAAAGTCATCGATAAAGTAAATGCGTAACGAATGAAGACGGAAAGTTTACATGTGGCAGAAATTCCTAAGAATTTAGAGTGTACCAAAGAGTTTACCATCATAGTAGTGAAGGCTGGGAATGAGTCAGTGATGTCAACAAAATCCGAGAGCATCAGGAAAGGAAACACCGCTTAATCTAAGGAAATGGCAGGGAACTGGACTAGACCGTAAACTACACTAAGTAACAAGGCAAGTGTAGACTGCACGAGGAGCAAGGCAAGCAGGTGACTTGGAGAAATTAAACACGAAAGTATAGTGGAGGGTGATGGTCCAGCGCGAGCCTCTTCCCCACCGTCAACCCGGCTGGTATATATGCTTATGTATACGTAACTATTGCTGTATACATGTATATGATGTATCAGAGCATTTTGTTAATTGTGCTTGCATATCCTCGTATGCTGATATACTTACTGAAAGACTTTCAACCTGTCCACCCTACACCGTATCAGCATGAATTATGTAATACAACAATTACATAATGACCCGAGGTCGAGTGCTCAATAACTCATTATGTAGGCTACTGTAGCAACTCTTGCTCTGTATTATATTATATTATATATTATTATATTATATATATATGCTGGCATGGTTTGCACTGTTAAACTTCATTGCCACTGTAAAAACATTTCACAATTACAAACTATCTGCCTCGATATCTGCCTTCTGCAGTTACCTTTGTTCTTATGATAGATTCTCAATTCCTGCACTAAGCCTACATTATGAACATTACATTACCTGTTAAATCTTTCACCCTGTCCATGGAGGACAGAAGAAAATGTATATATGCTAGTTAGCATTGTAAATGTGTGGTCACGTCTGTGTTAGAAAATAATAATTACTAAAAAAATTACTAACCGAAGAAAAAGACCTTGCAAAAATAACATCCATTCCCCTTTGTAGCAAGTGTGTGCATACGTAATATAGCGGCAATCTAAAGATAATTGATTAATGAAGATTAAGCCAGCCAAGAGGTGGCACGGGCATGAATAGCCCGTAAGAATCTCAAGACGTTGTTGTTGTTTTAGATTCAGCTACTGGAAACAATAAGTTGCAAGTAGCACGGGCTATGGTGAGCCCGTAGTGGACTTACCTGGCACAGGAGCGAGGCTGTAACTTTTAATCTCAAGACGTCATGTTCCTTCTTTAGAGCCTCTATCAGGCCCACACCTTGCAAACTGCCTGGAGTCAGTATATTGTTTACATAATATACTGCTAATTTACATAATATACTGCTACAAGCTACACTCACACACTGAGCACAGTATATATATGGCTGTGACCTTATAAATGGCAATTTACTATTTAAAAGTCAATAGTTAACATGATTTTGATTTTATTTAAATTATAGATGCTATTCACGACACATATATAATTGACTATAAACTCGCTTGAGGAGAAATGTTGCAAGATGTTGCCACATTGTATATAATATATTTTTTAATTCACCTTGTATTCAGCCATCATTATCGAATTAGAACTCTGACACTCACGCACATTACCTTTATGTCGCCGAGGCCTTTAATTATTAATAACAGCGTGTAAGTGAAAGTGTTTTTTATTAATATTCAGATCTTGTCTAGTATTCTCGACTGCAACATTCACTAACTTTCCTCACAATAAAAAGAGCTATAACCTGCTCCTCTATGAACACACACAATAGCAGTATACACACACAATAGCTCACCAACACTACCTTCCAGGAAATAACACTTCAGGTAGAATTTGCAGTGTTAGCGTACGAGGCTACACCCTGGCTATATGCGAGGCTACACCCGGCGCGCTGGCTGTACCATTGACGACTGCACGGGGCCTTCAGCCCAGGGCTCAGCAAGCTGGCTCTCCTCCGTGATGTGGTTCTATAAGAACCATGTGGTTCTCTTGACATGAACCACCTCAGGCGTGCAGGTACTAAACATGTATACATGGTTCTTTATTATACTGTAGAAATGGCCTAGAGTGGCCACAGCTTATGGTGCAAGCTGTCCTCAGGCTAGGCTTGTCCAACCGGCGGTCAACCCCAGTGACATATGCATCAATTTTAACGTATTACGTATTAAAAATACTGCAATTTCTTATATATAAGTTAAAATTTGTAGTACGTGGGTGAAGCATTTATAGCGTCGTGGTTCGAACAAAAATTCGTCAGTGAAGCACTTGTTCCGGAAGTGTTCGAACTAAATCAGTTGTGAGTCGTGTGTAAAGCGTTTTTCATTCATAAACAGGGGGTTTGGCGGGTGCATGGAATCACTTTTGGGTCTTTGTCTGGAGGACGGGCTGGGATTTTCCCCAGGAAGAAAGCCACATCCCGGGTATTCGAACCAAGGACCAACCGGATATGAGCCGTCTGCGTTGATCATTGGGAATATGAACTGGAACATATTCTTCACCATTATTTTATTTATTTACCAAGACGACCAACACTTGCTGGTTTTACCGCATCGTTGATGTATTTACTTGGGCACAAATGTTCCCTTTCCCTGTGGCAGCCACGGTCACAAAGTGGAGGTTACCCATACTCCTGTTTAGATAGTAGTTTTTGTAACTATGTGCACCATAGTACAAAGATTGACATACTAAGCAATTAGATAGTAAAATTTAATACTATTCACTTTATATAGCGAAAAAATGAAGCTATAGAACAACCAAATATTCCTAGGCCTAGTATAGCACACTTATGCAACATAAATAGAAAATCTTTTCCGGTTTATTAAAATTCAATAGTACCGATTGCTACTTTCTAATTGCGTTGTACGTCGGTGTATGTACTATGGTCCTCACCGTTACTGTAAGTACTGTACTACCATAGGAGGCTAGGCTGCACGGCACCACTGTTGAGTGGATGACGGAGGTGAAACAGTTTCCGGAAACGCTGTGTGATTCAGGGAGATTATGAACGCTGATAAGAGCTGTCAGTTGTTAGTGATCAGGTGGTGATTGAGTGATTGATAAAGATTAAGCCATACAAGAGGTGGCACGGGCATGAATATCCCGTAAGGTGAAGGTGGGGGCACCTTTACCTTATATACGTGTTGGCTGCGTCCCCGGCTCACAATCCATGGATCCGGGTTCAATCCCCGGGCAGGACAGAATTAAATGGTCTATAACGTTTTCCTTCACCTGATGTCTCTGTTCACCTAGCAGTAACATAGGTACCCCAGGGGGGGGGGGTTAGGCAACGGTTGTGGATTGCATCGTGGAGGTCAGTAGTTCCCCCCTCTCCCCGGGCACAATACCTCACCCCTCCAAGCAACGCCCCCATCTTACTCTAAGACCTTATATATGTGTTTTATTAAAGGTGAACGAGAAAACGATAAAGGGAAGTTGTATAGATAAGGAACACCGCGAGATATGATAGCTACGGTGTAAACGTCTCTGTTGCGGGGCGGATAGTCAGTGTCTGCAAGCTTTCCTCGTGTATTTCAGGATATGTGCGTATGTACACATGGATGACTTAGTGCGTTAATGCGTGCGAAATCCCCACTTAACTCTCAAAGAGGTCTCACCAGTCCCTGACACCCCTTCCCCATCCATCCGTCACAACCCTCCCCTATACGTCCCAAACAGCCTAGGTAACCTTGAGAACACGGTGACACTGGGAAGATGTGTTGTATGTGGTGCACACGCTCGCGGGCACGTACACACACGGTCACTCAGCAAGGCACGTCACGCCAACACGCGCACTATTGCAACTGTGCAAGTAGACGCCCTCCTCAGCGGATGACCTTGAGAGGCTGCCAAGTCCTCCTAACACCACCAATATATCCGTCACTTAGCAAGCGGACCGCGTACTGTGACACTTAATGACCCATATCACTATGGTGAAGACGTGAGACCCAGAAAACTATTAGTTGTAGCATATTACTGTTGTCATGAGACACATGGTAATCTAATCTGAAGCTGTTAAAGGTGTGTGGGTATAAGGGAGGTTCTGTGTCTGATCCCCAGTTGTCGGGGACAGGAAGCCTAGTGTGTACACCAACAGCTGACTTTCCTTTGGAATGCAGCCCTCAACACACTTTCCTGACTTCCGGAAACCTATTTACTGCTAGGTAAACAGAGACACCAGGTGAACGAAAACCGTTGCGAAAACGCTTCTACCCAGAGAAAGAAACTGAACCCGGTTTTTCTTTTATCTGTGCCCTTATTGTGTCTTTACCCACTCTTCTGTTATAATGACTGATACTATGCCCACTCTTCTGTTATAATGACTGATACTATGCCCACTCCCCTGTTATAATGACTGATACTATGCCCACTCTTCTGTTATAATGACTGATACTATGCCCACTCTTCTGTTATAATGACTGATACTATGCCCACTCTTCTGTTATAATGACTGATACTATGCCCACTCCCCTGTTATAATGACTGATACTATGCCCACTCTTCTGTTATAATGACTGATACTATGCCCACTCCCCTGTTATAATGACTGATACTATGCCCACTCCCCTGTTATAATGACTGATACTATGCCCACTCTTCTGTTATAATGACTGATACTATGCCCACTCTTCTGTTATAATGACTGATACTATGCCCACTCTTCTGTTATAATGACTGATACTATGCCCACTCTTCTGTTATAATGACTGATACTATGCCCACTCTTCTGTTATAATGACTGATACTATGCCCACTCTTCTGTTATAATGACTGATACTATGCCCACTCTTCTGTTATAATGACTGATACTATGCCCACTCTTCTGTTATAATGACTGATACTATGCCCACTCTTCTGTTATAATGACTGATACTATGCCCACTCTTCTGTTATAATGACTGATACTATGCCCACTCTTCTGTTATAATGACTGATACTATGCCCACTCTTCTGTTATAATGACTGATACTATGCCCACTCTTCTGTTATAATGACTGATACTATGCCCACTCTTCTGTTATAATGACTGATACTATGCCCACTCTTCTGTTATAATGACTGATACTATGCCCACTCTTCTGTTATAATGACTGATACTATGCCCACTCTTCTGTTATAATGACTGATACTATGCCCACTCTTCTGTTATAATGACTGATACTATGCCCACTCTTCTGTTATAATGACTGATACTATGCCCACTCTTCTGTTATAATGACTGATACTATGCCCACTCTTCTGTTATAATGACTGATACTATGCCCACTCTTCTGTTATAATGACTGATACTATGCCCACTCTTCTGTTATAATGACTGATACTATGCCCACTCTTCTGTTATAATGACTGATACTATGCCCACTCTTCTGTTATAATGACTGATACTATGCCCACTCTTCTGTTATAATGACTGATACTATGCCCACTCCCCTGTTATAATGACTGATACTATGCCCACTCCCCTGTTATAATGACTGATACTATGCCCACTCCCCTGTTATAATGACTGATACTATGCCCACTCCCCTGTTATAATGACTGATACTATGCCCACTCCCCTGTTATAATGACTTATACTATGCCCACTCCCCTGTTATAATGACTGATACTATGCCCACTCCCCTGTTATAATGACTGATACTATGCCCACTCCCCTGTTATAATGACTGATACTATGCCCACTCCCCTGTTATAATGACTGATACTATGCCCACTCCCCTGTTATAATGACTGATACTATGCCCACTCCCCTGTTATAATGACTGATACTATGCCCACTCCCCTGTTATAATGACTGATACTATAATGGACCTGCGTTTCGGGCAGGTCCTTAATCTCAATTTTCCCTGGAATACAACCTGCCAGTGCAGGTATCCCCTCACTGCTGGGTGAACAGAGGCAACAGTTAAGGATTGGCGCCCAGTCAATCCTCCCCAGCCAGGATACGAACCTAGGCCAAATCACTGGCGAAGTTCAGGGCGAGTGTGTTACCACTGCGCCATGGGGATTGCTTTTAAAAAAACTAGGTACATAAAGGAGCTGATAACACATGCATTTCTGCCTGAAACGCTATGCGTGTTAGTGGTTTTTGATAGATTATAAGAACACTAATGTTATGTACTCTCACAAACCCAATGTACCTTCTTGAATATAAATAAATAAATAAAATAAAAATAATAAAGATACTTCTTTCCGAATTTCATTAGGAGAAAGAGCTTCTCTATGCAGTCAGCATTACCATATATCATGAATCAGCTTATTGTATCTTGTATAATATATTATTGTCTGAAATATATGTATTAATGCTCAGTACCGACATTCACTACAAGTCCTATCCTTGATTACTTACTGTCCTTGAGCATTTAACAACAAATAAGTTGACCAGACCACACACTAGAAGGTGAAGGGACGACGACGTTTCGGTCCGTCCTGGACCATTCTCAAGTCGATTGATTGTCGAATCACAATCGACTTGAGAATAGTCCATGACGGACCGAAACGTCGTCGTCCCTTCACCTTCTAGTGTGTGGTCTGGTCAACATACTTTAGCCACGTTATTGTGACTCATCGCCTGCACAACAAATAAGTCTCCCCCAACTGTAATTTACAGAAAACGTGAAGTTAACAACTGGTCGAGAAGCGAGCAACTCCAGCCATCATAACAATCTCCTCAGCACCTTGAAGCAGCATGTCTCTCTCCTCCTCAGATCATCTGAATGGCGCTAGGAAGAGATTAGAGGAAGCTCTTGGTCCTGATAAGAAAACTAAATATTTTTATCATATGAAGCAATGGTTCAGGATGAGGGTAGGTTGTCCTCTTAATAAGTCACAACAATATATTTCATTTATTTATAAATATAAAAGTTCTTACATTCTTGTACCGCCACTAGCATGCATAGCGTTTCGGGCAAGTTCTTAATCCTAATTTTTCCCGGAATACGACCCACCGAATCGTTTAACAACCAGGTACCCATTCACTGCTGGGTGAACAGAGGCTACAGTTAAGGATTGGCGCCCAGTCAGTCCCCTCTGGCCAGGATACGAACCCAGGAAAAAGCGCTTGTGAAATGCCAGGTGAGCGTGTTCACTTTGCCACGGGACTGCTCAAGTATAATCGTACTGTATACTGTATATAATTACACGTATAATAGTTTATTTATACAAAATACAGTACTGTACTTGATTGCAGAGTATATTGCATATATAGGTATAAATATATTTTATAGTGCCACTATTAATATGTTCTTACTTTAGTAAGATATTTACATATGGGTTGTGTAGCACAGCAATCTACGTCCTCAGTGCATTGTGGGAAAAGTCATCAGTAATGGGTCTAGAGGGACCTCTAGAAACCTATCCCTGACTATGGAAGACCATAAGGTGAACCATGAGAAGGAGAGCATATTATATTATAAAATATGAAAGTAAAATGTGCGGTTGAATTGACCACCTGCGTGACACGAGTGTAAGGGGTGTGTATGGACAGTTTACAATCGTGGAGTGCATCTCGGTGTGCAGTTTTGTGAAGTCATGTGTAGTGTTTACCAAGGTATCCAATGGCTTATTGATAATTTTTTTTTTGTGATCAATTTCATTATTTTTCTCAGATATTTGTCCTATTTTCAAAATAGTTACATATAAACTTAAATCATTTGTCCCTCCATTCAGTGAAAACATTGTTCAGTTTAAAACGTTTGGGACCTGAAATTTTCTTATTTTGGTGTATATAAAGAGTTTTGCTAAGTTCACCTTGTACTTTAGTATTACTGTAGTTGTTTTTACTGCTATGCTAAAATATAATTTTTTTTCTACATAATTCTTGGTAAAAAATGTACAGATAAGACAATTGAGAGCACATATACAATTCAAAAATAATTAAATATTGAATTTATTTACATTTAAAAACAAGTGATATTCTGATTTGCTTTTTTCTTCATTGCTTGGTATACAGTATTTAATTTCATTATAGATTGAGCTAACCATTGAAAATAAGAAAGCGATTTAATTAAATGCATTTTAAAACTTGAATGATAAGCCTTTAGGTTAAAAAATTTATTTTGTAGTTTCATAGGATTAACTATGTTACTAAAAAATATATATATATTTTGAATTGCAGGTAACAAAAGAAGAGTTTGATAAGAGTGCCCGCGATCTCTTGCCACTAAATTCAGTACACTTGCATAACGAGTTTCTTCTAGCTATCCTCACCAAGTGCCAGCTCTTTACTTCCTCCTCCTCTTCGAGTTCCCGATCTGACACCCACCATCGTCATGATGATCTGGTGAATATTTGTTACTTGATGTATTAATAGCAGGGATCTTAACATTATAATAATGCCATTAATGATAGGGATCACAACAATAGAGGGTCTAACCAATGTATTAATAGCAGGGATCTTAACAATATAATAATGCCATTAATGATAGGGATCACAACAATAGAGGGTCTAACCAATGTATTAATAGCAGGGATCTTAATAATATAATAATGCCATTAATGATAGGGATCTTAACAATAGAGGGTCTAACCAATAGGGATACTAACAATAAAAATCTAAACGCCAGAGAACTCGAGAAATACTGTACTGTATCAAGTTCGGAGTAGATTTGATTGTAGATTAAGTTCATGCAAACTGTGATTTTCTTGCAACATTAGTGATGATCACATGATTCAATTAGCATGATTATAAGTTTTGCTAGTTAAGTGCTGAATGTTGTAAATTAATTTAGGTATCTTTGAACATTGTTCATTAGCAATGGTGATGAAAATGCATACAAATGGAAGAAGGGGGAAAATGCATAGATTAATTTATTCAGCTCTTGAAAATTAATCAGTGTGCAGTGTCATTTAATTTGAAGGTACTGTATATGTTATAGATACAAAATTCAATACAACTATGAAATAACTAAAGGTTTATTAACAAAATTAGTTAGGAAAGGCAAATGATGGAGAAGGCATTTATTATGTGCATAAATACTGTAAAGTTAATGTAAGGGAATATACTATATACAGTAGAGCAGGTGAGAGAAGATAAGGTAGAAAGGTTATAATGTTGTTGAAAGCTATTGAAGCTTTTGTTGAGGTGTGGGGTATTAGGAGGAATTTTACTAATAATTTATCATTGTAGACAAATAAATGAGATGCATTTTTATGTCTATAATGCTTCTCTTTGCCAAATTACTCAAGAGGAACAAATTTAAATACAATACTGTATTTGCATTTCAACATGTTTATAACAATTCAGAATGCTTAATACTGCAGTTAGTATTAGCCTTCGCATAGATTGCATTGTAGTGTTAATGCATTTATATTTAGAAATTTTCATCTCTTTTTTTTTTTTCCCCCCCATTTGGGAAACAATAATTTTTGTTGTAGACAATATGTATACACTTATTGTACATGTACAGACTAACACTATATATTTATTGTCAGCGTATGGACTCGGGAGGAGGAACTTCAGGATCTCGTGACCATGCCTCTGTTAATGTTTATTATATACCGTCTGAACGCAAGAAACTCAAGCCAAAAAAGAAAATGAAAGCTACACGACCTCCCCAAGATGTAAGCATAGTGTCTATATATTATTTGTATCTTTTACTTTGATGTCCTTGCATATAAATCTACAAATGCATATCCATATCTATAAAAAAAATGTATCAGAGCTTGAAGGCATATTGCTTGCAGTTATCCTCACAACTTTCCATGGTGATTTGTGATTGTATAGTATATGATAGGGTGGCTGTGGTCAATCCCCATGCCCCTCCTTTAGTAGGATTGGTTCCTGTTGCAACAAAAAATGACTCCCATTAACTCTGAACTGGGGTCTTGGTTTTCCGTAGAGGTTTTAACAGATTTTGTCAGATTACCAATTTTCCCTTCTTCAGGAGCAACCCATAATAGTCACCTTGCTCTCAGGTATTTATTTACTACTAGGTGAAAAGAGGGGTCTGGCTACATGTTCTGACACAGAACAGCTAGACCTGTTTGGGAGTCAAACTCGGGTTCGTTCTGTTGTGAGCCGACTGGACTAGTGATATTTGAATGCGTAAATGTCTTTTGTACCATACCTTGAGGTTACCTTGAGGTGCTTCCGGGGCTTAGCGTCCCCGCGGCCCGGTCGTCGACCAGGCCTCCTGGTTGCTGGACTGATCAACCAGGCTGTTGGACGCGGCTGCTCGCAGCCTGACGTACGAATCACAGTCATGATTTTTTATATTTTTTTCAGAATAATTTTGAAGCAGTGACTGTTCAAGATATTGCAGCCACAGCTACACTACATGAACCACAAGCCATCACAGATGCAGGCGCTGGGTACATGTCTCGTTCTCTGTGCTTGCTCGACACTGGACCTCTCAAGGGTCGTTTACTGCTAGCAGCTTGGGACCACGGTATTACACAAGTTGCAGATAATGTAGCAAATATGCTTCAAGAAGCAACGCAGGTATTGAAATCTTGCCACAAAAGCATTTTTATTTATTATTTTGGTCTTGCTTTTTTTTTATTCTGGAAAATAGCTGAAAGTAGGGTTTGGTAGTGAAGGCGATGATGTTGGTAGTGATGAGTTCAGGTGGAGTGAAGTTTGCAGAGTTCCTGACCAAGAAATGTGAGGTATCTCCAAAGCAACTTTGTTAGGAAAATCAGGGATCATTTGTAAGAGTACTGATACTAGAATACTGGTATTGTGACATGTAAAATATCCCCTACACGAAGCGAAGGTGTTAAAAATTGCATGTTTCATATATTTGGAATCTTAAACTTTAATCAGAATAAAAATGAATAAATTCTGTATAGTTCATAATAGTGTCTTTATGTGGAGTTGTCTGAGACATTCCTTTTACTGTACTAAAGTTGATAGACATCATTAATACAGTACTGTATTACTAATATTCTCTTGTAATATATCTATCATAACAATGTAAATATCATAAGAATCATTAAATTTGATTGTTTTCAAACCGAGAACACATGCCATGGGTCTCTGGCATGTGTTCTGCCAGTGTTGGCGCTGCTTTTATAACGGCTATTTTAATTACAGTATGCAGACATTTAAAAGTTTTTACTTACTGGTTTAATGCATTAATGATTTAACGTTATTAATTCAGTATTTTTTCAGCAATGTTTAAAGAACGTACTGATGGCAGTGATAAGCAGACGAAGAGGATACCGTATTAGAGAAGGACGCTTTATGCACTCATTGGGCACCACTCCTCCAAATCCTTGGTTGAGAAACACAGCTTCTCTTAATGACTGGGCATCTGAAAGGTAAATATTTCCTCTGTCTCCTTGTCACAAAGGCAACTTTTCATGAGCATTTTCTCGGCAACTTTAGTAATATTTTACATGATAGGATGATCCAATTGATTCTTTTCAGAAAGCAGATACAGTAATCAGAAACACACAAATAAAGTGTATACAGTATAAAGTGGATTATATATATATGAGCCCATAGTGCATTTAACATGTCCACTTTTGTTAATCTACTAATTTACTTATCCATTTGATATTAATTAACTGTTATATTTAATCAGTTTGGGACTCCCAACTGGGGAGTGCGGTGAAGCCGGAGATCGTCCCATATGGCCAACTGTAGACTCTGCTGAGCAAAATGCTGCCCACTTGGCTGCTTGTGCTCCTCAAACAGATAATCCACTACCACCAATTAGTTGTATGGATCTTTTAGAAGCTCTCCAGGTAGGTGTAGGTTCTATTACATTTTTTGTTTTGCATGTAAAAATAATGCAAGGCGAGTTACTATTAATGTGGGGGGTTGAAGTTTGTTGTGACTGAATGCGAGTTGACACTGTACTTTATTTGGGTGGTATAAGCAGTTCATGTAGAAGAGAAATGAGATAAAAAATGGGGATAATTATTGATGCTGTGTGTGTAGTATATTAAAATAAATAAAGTTCATGTGTCTGAGAGGGAAAAAAAATTTCGGTCCCGTGCCAGCCCTAAATATATTCAGCCTTGTAAGGAGAAGAATTGGTAATTTTGTAAATAACCCACAGGTTCAAAAGAGTGCTTTACCATGTCACTCGGTGTACGCGCTTGGGATGGAGAGAATATCTTCCCGTTTGTGGCATCCTGGCTGGGGGGAGGTGGAGCAGGAAGCCATTGCTGTTCAAGAGGCTTCACTAAGAGAGACATTGAAGGAGCATAGACTGGCGGCAAATCCTGTTACCTGATATATTTTTAAAGGTACAGTAAATAATAGGCCATAAATTATTATTTGTATTATGAGGAGAAAGTTATTTGAACAACAATTTTTTTTAGCGTTGAATGTACGGTACTTTCTTTAAACTATTTTAAATACCGTACTGCTTAAAAAAATTAAAGTTCTTGAAACTTTAAATAAAATACTCAATATGTGGTGTATACAGTAGTTTTTTAAGTAAATTTGATTACAGTTCTAAGTATTTCCCTTATTTTTTATTTTATTTTTTACTTTTCTGATATACTGTACAACATATAGCTTGTGAAGGATATAATGAACAAATGACACTTTAATTATTCACCGAGTGGAGAAGGCACACACACACAATTTTGTTAAAGTGTTTATGGCATTTATATACTGTACTTGGGAAAGCATTTGCCAAAGTGAATCGAGGATCTTCTGGCATGTATGATAAGCATGCATGGATTTGTTGGAATGTTGTTGATGGTTTTAAATGATGATTAACTCCTACATGCCAAATTTAGTGTATTTAGGGACCTGTTTGATATCAATGTTAGGAATACACCAGGGCTATATAATGTCCCAAAGATTGTTCAGTTTATGCTGTATATAGGTGAAGTCATCAAGTCAAGCAAAGAACACTAGAAATGTGTTTAAATTTAATTATAATAATCTAAAACTGTTGAAAAGAAAGATGGTTAGCTATATATGAATAATAAATTGCATATTAAATGTGACCTATCCTGTAGCCTTCCTCCTACTTTTGTAACAGGAAATATCTCTGGCTAGGGACATTTATGTATTGACTATATGCAGTTAACTCATTGGTTCCTGATGGATCAAAGACTGCAACACACAAGCAGGTGAATGTACCTCTGAACACAGCAGGCTGCACAAAACTAGTGCCAGTTGTGAACGTACATGGTAAGGACGTGATGATGTGGCTGATTAAAATAAAAAGCAGGGACAAGGGCGACTGAACCATTGTAAAGGCAGATAGCAAGGCAGGTATTCCAGACGCCGAACCCCCAACCTAGACCACTTGTCAAATTAGAGCATACGCTGCCATGACTTGTGACCTAAGCACAACCTCAACTAAGTTGCAAGGCCCATAACACACTCATGAGCAGGGCCGACACTGTAGGTAGGTCTTTACCCAGTACAAGTACAATATACAGTCAGAAGACTTTACTCTTCATCAACAGGCCCATAGAGAACAAGTTTTGGGTGTATTTGGTGGGATATAGGAAAATGCAAGCCAATCCAAAGAAAGAGCACCCTGATCACAGTCTCAGCAAAACTGTAATGCTAGAGCATTTGCAATTTAAGTGGCATAAATATAATTGTGAACTAGAAACAAAAACAGAGTAATGGTTCCTGGCAACACTAACATCCCAGGAAAAGCCAGCACCACTTACCTGAAAATGAAAAGCCGACGATGGGCTGTTATCTGGCAGCTGTTAGGCGCATAACGTTACCTCGTGGCAATGGCCGTTTGCCTAGTTTTCCTAGAGGTGCCTAATTTTCTTCAAGCAGCCACTTAATTTGTTGCCGTTATGGTTTTTGGTGGCATTTTCCCTACTTTTGGGTCAATCTCTAATCTCCAAGTTCCTCTCACTTTGTAGAAAAAGTCAGGTTTTAGTCCTGGGTTAAGGTAGGCAACAGATGGAACTGAAGATTACTGGTGTGTTTAGCCGAGGCACAGTGGTACCCGAGCTAAGTTTGAGGAGCTATTGAGGGGACCCTCCTATATTTTATATACTGTACCCCAGGTCATTGACAAAGTATTACAAATCGGCATTTATTGTGTTCCATAAACATTTTGTTTTATAAATAAAGTTGTGAAGTTAAATCACTTTCTTTCAATGTTTTTATCTGGTACATTACCAGTATGGAATCGTAAACTATACAAAAATTAATATACAGTACTGTAACTATTTTTAATACAATCTATAAAACTGTGCTAATAGTGTACCATATAGTATAATGTAAAATATAATAATGTAAATTTTATATTTTGCATTATTAAAGACCTTGGTAGAATTTGGATGCAAAAAAATTATTACTTTTTGTTTTTTTTTGAGACTATACACAGAATTAAATATGATCCATGTATTATATTCCAAGAAAAATGGAATGGATTGGAATGGAACTGTAGATTAACCAAGGTAAAAATACAAGTTGTAATATCATTTGTTTTGGAAAACAAGTACTGTACTGTACAATATTTATATTTACGGTACCAAGCTTACTAACATATTCATGGCATAGCATTATTAGTAATTATTGTCACGTCTTATATTCAGCTATTAGCGCAAGGGGGCACAGTGGTAAAACACTCACCCGGCGCTTTGGTCTGGGTTTGTATCCTGGCCGGGAAAGATTGACTGGGTGCCAATCCTTAAAACCTCTGTTCATCCAGCAGTGAATGGGTACCTGGTTATTAAACGATTTGGGAGGCCATATTCCGGGGGAAAATTAGGATTAAGGACCTGCCCGAAATGCTATGCGTGCTAGTGGCTGTACAAGAATGTAAGAACTCTTGTACCGTATATATAAACAAAAATAAACAAATAAATAGATAAAATAAAAGGTTTATTATAGAATAAGAGTTTACCTGATTACATAAATTTACTTACAGTTGGCAGTAGAAAATCTTGTGTATACCATGAATGCTAGCATCAGGATTCAATGTTTTCATTTTACAATGGAAAGGCAAATGATAATTAAACAAAGAACGACAACTGAGGCTACATAATCTACTGAAGCTGCCCACTGATGCTTTCGGTGCTGCACATCGCTACTTCAAGGTTATACAAAAATTAAAAGCAAATTTTGCTTTTTTGAGTTTTTAATGTTGTTGATCCCTCAATAAGTCTCAGTACAAGCCTAAACAGACTGTTTGCTTACGTTTCTTGTTAAAATTGGCACATGGTTTGATCCGTAAGTGGGTAACACATTTCATAGCTTTTCGTGGTTAAAATTACTGTAGCTCTCAAGATGCAGCAGTTATAATTTCTTAAGCTTTAGTGTAGTTTTAATATACAATGTTACATACAGTACTTGTACAGTAGTTATAAATGTAAATTTAAAAAACACAATTGCTGATTACCAAATGAGTGACTAAATAAGTACACTATAAAGAGAGATAATGTAAGTACTGTACAGGGCTGTACTGTATTTTCATTTATTTTACACTTCAAATATGTTTGAAAAGAATGTGAGTCAAATATAGTTGAATTTATGTAAAGACGTACAACAGCAAGTTATTCATTTATCTGTGTTATTTCAATATGAATATGAGTAGCAACTATTATAAAAAAAAATAACTATCAAAAGAATACATTATGCTTGGAAGACCACACAGCACCATTTGTGTCAGAATAATCAATAGTTCCTAGGTATCATTCAGGATGCCAATATAGGAGCAGAAAGACATAGGATGGAGATGTCAAAGGAATCAGAATCACTGAGGATTTTATTGAGGAACAGATGACTTATTTAGTTAGATCTAGATCTCCACTCCATCAGGTGCCTATGAGATAATCATGTTAGACCAACATGTAAGATGATGTCTTGACCTGTTAAAGTAGAAGATATAAATATACTGTACATACATACATTCATACATATGTAGAGCACTTACGTACGAACGTATGTATGTACCCGTGGGCTTGGGAGTACCAGATGTACGTGTTTGAATCCTCCTCATGGCTCCCACCGATTTTTTCATATTACGTACTCGCCTAGTTGTGCTTGTGGGGTTGAGGTCTGGCTCTTTGGTCCCACCTCTCAACCGGTGTACAGATTCATCAGCCTACTGGGCTCAATTATATCTACATTTGAAACTGTGTATAGAGTCTGCCTCCATGTATTTATGTATTTGTATAATGTATGTTTAAGCTGGTCAAAATTGAATTTTACTTTTGTAAATGCACATTAATCACATTATGTATAAAAGAAAATCCAGTACTTTGAACATTGTTTATGTAGGACAGGTGTAAATTTATGTACTGTATTTATGTATGTAGGTTAGATTAGTATTTTATAAGCACTACAATCACCTGTGGTTGATTGTTCAATAAATCACTGCAACAGTAGGAGAGCAAAATTGACAATGATCCTCAAAATTAGGACATTCTATGAAGAGAAGCACAATTGTTAGTTAGATCCAGATCTCCACTTCATCAGGTGCCTATGAGATAATCATGTTAGACCAACATGTAAGATGATGTCTTGACCTGTTAAAGTAGAAGATATAAATATACTGTACATACATACATTCATACTTATGTACAGCATATGTATGTCTTGTAGACATACATATGCTGTATGTCCATAAGACATATGTCTTCAGTCTATAGCACTGAACTATAAGTTTAACAGATCTCTCACCCTGTCCATGGTGGACAGAAGAAAATGTATATATGTTGTTCAGCATTGTAAATGTGTGGCCACATCTGTGGTAGAAAAAACTTTACGAGGCAGGAGTTAGAACTGATATTATTAGCAAATTTTTCCACAAGTAACATTGAACTTAATAGGACAATATTTAGATGCCAGTGATCTACAGTATCTGCCTTTTTAAAACTGGTATTACATTAGCTACTTACCACAACTCTAGAACAATGCAAAACTTTAATGATTTATTTAATGTACCTGACAAATTGAGAAAAATGAAAGGAAGAACCTAATAAAAAAAAATACTTTCTCAGAGCCTCGGGACCCGTTGGTCTTTAATTTAATATTTATTCACTTTTTACTTGTTAATTAGTATGTAGTTTTAACATCTGTCTTCACTCCCTCCATAAATGTATTAAATTTCTGGCATACTGGCTGACCCCTCACAGTGTTCAAGAGAGAACTGGATAAGCACCTCCAAAGGATACCTGATCAACCAGGCTGTGACTCATACGTCAGGCTGCGAGCAGCCGCGTCTAACAGCCTGGTTGATCAGTCCAGCAACCAGGAGGCCTGGTCGACGACCGGGCCGCGGGGACACTAAGCCCCGGAAGCACCTCAAGGTAACCTCAAGGTAAGGTACTGTAAAGTTCTTCTCTAGTAGATTGTGATAAAATACCATTTTTTCATCATCTGTTAGAAGTCTGACTGTTTTCAATGGCCCAGTCCTTTCTCTTATCCTTGCTTTGATACATCTGGAAGAACTCTGGTATTTAACTGCCATTTGTATCTACGGTATTTGGCAAAATATGATTTACTCCCCCCTAATGTGATGAATACCCATTTGAGCTTAGCAATACTGAGTAAACTATTTTCCGTTTCATGACTCGTCTAAAAGGAGTGAAGGAAACTACTGTACATCAAACTCAATTAGAAATAAATTAAGAGAACTTTATCTTAATTGTGCTCAATAGCATTTCTAGAGCCTTACCTTCTTGTACTGCCGTATCACCAGCCCATCCTCCTGTTTTAGTAGTACTTAAAGTAACGATGAGGACCATAGTATATATACCGACGTGCAACAAAATTAATAAGTAGAAATCGGCACTACTGAATTGGACAAATCGAAAAACGATTTTCTACTTATGTTGCAAAGACAAATTAAACTAACCTAACCTTCCTAGGCCTAATACAAGATATGAGGCCTAATAGTACATGTGCTATACTAGGCCTAGGAATATTTAAGTGTTTTCTTGTTGCTACATTTTTTCCGTGACTATAAAGTGAATAGTACAAAGTTCTACTATCTAATTGCTTAGAACAGCAGTCTTTATACTATGGTGCACATAGTTACAAACTACTATTTAACAGAAGAATGGGTTGGCATCACACCCTTCAAGGAAAGTCTTTAAAATCATGATTATTAATAGGCATTTTAAGTCCTACTGATGACAGATGTGTTAATTAAACTGTGTGTCTGGAGTAATTTTGATCCAGGATAGTCCCAGAATATGTTCGTGTAGAATGCCGAGGACGCACAAATTTCTATAACTTCACGGAGAGATTAGTTAGTAGTTCTTCTGACTGTCTTATCATACTAATTTTGTAATATAAATTATGCCAATGTCTTATGTCTTATCACTCTAATTGTAATCCTCACTTTTACAATATACTGTATATTGCTTAACAAATTGTAAGTTAAATGCCACTCAAATTATGCCAAAAATGTAAGCTTGATTTAGATTGCTGTACACCCATTTAATCCAGCCATTATTGTAATGACTTGTATAAGTTGTTACAAATAAAGTTTCTGGTTCTCACAAGGACACCTTCAACATGATGATTATAGAAGAAACCAATTCGAGTTTGAAAACAAAAATTGCAGGAAAAACGAGTACAGTAACGTTAAGTATCTCGTATAACAAAGATTTTTTGCTCGTCTTCAGGTTTTTCTTGAATAACTTGAAAAGCTGAAACTATCAAATTCATTATGCAGCTTCATTTTCCAAACTTCATAATAAAACTGTTGACATGAACAATCTTGAACATCTTCCATATGTTGCCAAAATGAAATATTATTGCAGCTTGGTAACAAAAATCCTGAAAAGCAATAATTAGTTTGAATAGTTGATGCATATAATGAATTGGGTGGATAAAGGTGCTCTTGCTCTTCTAATTTACATGTCCAGCAACTAAGGGTAACATTAGTACTACAGTTGGGCTCATTGTTAAGGAAACAAATGTGTACTTAAAAAATGTTTAAAAAAAAATCAACAAGCTTGTTACAATACAAATAAATTACAACTTTTAAATTTAAAACATAACAAATGTAAACAAAAAGTGCCTAAAAAGTTAAAATGCTGATAAGAGTATACTATGCAGCAAGTTTTCAATGAGATTATTTAAGTCATATTGAAAAACTGATGAACAAATATTTTATGTAGTGAAATGCCACTTTGCAGGTGACAGCGTAGTAGCTCTCCAGAGCTTATGGCACTGGCACAAAAGAACTGGGAAAATGAGCAGCCAGTACTCTGCTGGATTGCCCAAACCCTGACCAGACAAGGGCTGCATGCATGACATATACCAAACTAGGAAAAGGCAAAATATGGGTAAAACATCGCTACCCACGCAGCAAGGAACGGGACTGTCTAGATTGAACGAGTCAACTGACCACACTATCAGGTGCAATCTGATAGTGTGGTCAAACGACCAAGTGGTAGGATTACACAAACCTAATCTAGATTTCTGGTCAGGTCTAGGCAATCTTTACAAAAAAAAATTGTGCAAATATTTTGCCAGTGTTGATAAAAGACAAGAATAAAATAATGTTACATTTGACAACACAAAAAACATTCAGATAAAATTAAATATTAATGAAGAAATAACAACATTGCAAATCAAGCAAATAAAGAGTGCTTTGTGTCAAGGAAAATAATAACAGATTACAAACGTTGCATAAAGTACAACATACCAAACTAGTGCCCATCACCATTTTCTATGTTGGCCTTATTAACATTTGACAAAAACTATACTATGAATAGAAATAATGTAACATGCTTTATGTATATTCTTATGAATATAATTATATTATAATTATTATTAATTTATAGCAAAATGCCACTTTTATCCTAAACAAAACATTTATCTAAACATTATTAATAAATACTTCATCCGCCTTTCAACTACAAATTGAGTAGCTATACATAATGTAGCAAAAAGCACTAGAGGTGCCTCTATGCAAGAATATAACCCACCCTGTACCTCACTAAGCTCTTGCTTCCTGCACCCGTCCAGCCTTACTCCCACCTATCTAGATCCTTCGTGCTCAACACTCGCCTAACTGTGCTAGTGGAGGGTGAGCTTCAACTCTTTGGTCCCACCTCTCAACCTAAGTTTTAAGTCGGATATCTTAATGTGTTATAAGTATATAACACAGTTTGTTTATCATAAACTGGCCTGACACTGGATTATATATACTGCACTGAAATTTCAAGGACTTAGCATAGAAATGAAGCATAAAAATGTTGAAAAACAAAAATATGACTGACATACAACCTACGCAATGAATGTTACATGTCGACCTTAAAAGTGACTCAAAAGAGAATAGAATGTTCCCTGACTTTATGGAAGATAACTTGATAATTAAAGATTATCAATGATAATTTACTTGAAACAAGTGATAGTTTGATAGAAACAACTAGAAAAATGTGCAGTGTAGACCGATGAGATTAGTCAGAAACTGATTTATGATTAATCAATTTGAACAGTATACAAGCTGAACTCTTGAAACGACGACGCCTTAAGGTCTCATTATAATAGAGTTTGTTTAGTATGTTATTCTCTTCATGATAAAATGCCTCATTTTGTACAAGATATGGCAAATGGATTTTGTTTTCTTCTTATTTTTGCACAATAAGATTGTTTTTGAACTCGAATGTAACAATGAATTGTGGAAAAATATTTAGACTACTATACTTTTTACTGTTATGAAACGGTAAATAAAACAGTTTGGTATATTATTCGGTAATTCTTATGCATATTTTTACAGCTGCAAAGAAAAGTCTGAAGTACTGTAGTGTCTATCCAATAGCATTGCTTATTTTTTTTTTCACATGACAATCACAATTATGAGAAATGTAGCGCTTGTATAAAAAAATTTCAGCAGCTAAGCTTTAAGTTGAACCAAGTTAGGCTACTATAACTAATCAATAATACGAGATTGTTAAATATTGTTACTTTATATTAATATTGTTAATATATGAGATTGTTAATATTGAAAAGCTCAGGTTTTCATTCATGATGAAACAGATCAACAATTTGTCCTTTATCTCTCAATACCATATAAATAAAAGATTTAAATAATCCCCATATATATATTAGTAAAATACAGTTTAACAATTCACTTAGATACAAAAACATTTTCTTAAGCTAACTGAAATCAGAACACAAAGAAAATTTGCTTTATGTAGTACGTAATTTAAATTTACTAAAATATCTCTTCTCTAGCTATAACTAACTTCTTGGTAGGGGTATTAAAAAAAAGTGAAATGGTTTCATAAATATATGGAATTTAGCCAATTCAGAGTACTGTATTCATGACTACTTGTTTCCACATCTTTAGTTAAAGCTTTTTCTGACCTGTCAAAATGCAGCACAAGTGTGAATGGGGGCTTCGGAGGGTCTGTGCAAAGTACCAAAAATCAATACAGATTGCAGCTGTTTATAATGAAGAAATAGCAGTTCCTGCATACAAGTTCTTGGTTGGAGCTGTTTATAATGAAGAAAGGCAGTTCCTGCATACAAGCTCTTGGTTGGAGAAGAATGAAAGGCACCTCAACTGAAGGACAAGTCAGTACGATGAAAGACGTCAAAACAACAAAGAGTCGAGAGCAAAGCCGACGAATATGCAAGGTACTGATAGTCCAGCTTAGATAATATTATGGAGGAATGTGTCTCAGAGTTTACAAACACACTGTCAGTAAACAGAGTGTGTCTATTTACACCCCAGAAGATATGCAACAAGAATTTGAATAAGGCAAGGATCTTGGTGCATCCAGTTCACAGATGATGGAGGTCTGTGGATTAGCTACCTCTGATATGGATATTTTTCCCTTAAATCTCTAATTTATTTTCAATAGCAGTGCTATTTTCCCCTCTTTCACTGTTTCATCTCTCTCTTGATCACTTGATAGCCCATATGATTAACTTTAGTTTTATTTCTGCAATTGCAATGATAAGCAATTACAGAAACAACAAAACAACAACATTCAAGCATTCAACAACAACAAAAAGTGTTGCTTTAACTTGTTCATGGTATTGTCATAATGGCTTGGTGCTTTCTCTTGATAATTCCCTTCCCTTGTTGATTGTACCATCTGCATTCAAGTATTGTACATGCTCATTTGCTGTTCATTACAACGATGGGGTGCAACTGTGTCAGGGTTCGGAGTGCAAAAGCCTGTTGTGTCATGTTCATCAGCTGGGAGAGGTGGTCACAAGTGTGTGGTGCTGTTCGATACCAAGTTTAGTGAGTGAATGTGTGCATACTAAGAGTGTGCAAGCATGTGCATGGATGTGGTGTGTGTGTACAGGTACATAGTGTACAAGTGAAAGCGTGCTTTCACTTGTACATTATGCTTCATGTTCAGTATATGTTTGTGTGTATACTCCACCTAGTTTTGCTTATGGGGGGGGGTAGAGCTTTAGCTCATTGGTCCAAAGTATGTGTGTGTGAGCATACGTGTGTGTTAGCATGTGTGTAATTACCTAAGAGTAGTTACTGAATAAGAGCAAAAGCCCTTCAAATGTTTGCTAGTCTGCAATATGATACTGATTGTTCTGTCGATGTGTGTCGGTGGTGTTAAGGTTGGTATTACATCCACTCCCCAGGACCTTTTCCGTTTTGACTCTTGCAACTGTCTCCCTTGTAAACTGTACTGTACTATCTCTCCCAAAATCTTCAAATTAGAGGATTAAATGCCCGTGGTTATTTGTCCATCCATCCGTGCAGCCTGTCCAAGTCCTTCTGTAATATTATAAAGTTATCTTTGGTTCTCACCTTTTTTTTATTGGTTTAGAAAGTGATTGACATAATTAAGGAACAGTAGTACTGTAAGTACAGAGTAATGTAGAACCCCATTCACCACTCCTCTCCATCCTGACTCCTCCTCTCTCACTATAACCCTCTGTTTCTCATTTGTTAGGTACTCTCTAAAACAGTCCTGTATCTCCCCAGTTACCCAACCTGTCCTCTTGAAAATAACGTCACTTTTCGCTCGTATGTGTTCTATGGCTAAAAATAGACGTACATACTAGTACTGTAATTTGAAATGAAATCAGCTCACAAAAGTGATGTACTGTCCCGTTTTCTGTTTGAGTAGTCTGGCTTACTCGGTAAGGTTAGGAAAGGAAACTTTCAATTAATGTTTTTCATGACGTTTTGAAACTTAAGGAGAATTTCCTGCCCTCCTAACCTATCAGAGGACCCTTAATTTACTGCTTTGGAAAAAAAAATTCAAAATTTATTTTAAATTTGTTTCATTTTCAAATTATGCCCAATTTCGGCCATACGGGCAAACTGCCAAATTCAAATGTAATTTGTAAGAGGACAGGTTGAGTTACCCCCGTCTGCTCTTCCAATTTATGCTCACCTAGCTGTGCCTACGAAAGATCTAGCTCTTGGATCCCTCTTCCTAGCTATTGAATACCTAGTGAGTTTATAACTCAAGAACATTCTAATACTGTACTTTAGAGTACATGTTAAAGCTGTGAATAAAAGTGGTTTACACAACCTCTGCTCCCAGTTCATTTCACTTGCTTTGTTTACAGTGCATACTACAATAGTACTGTACTTATGCTTCTTTGCCTCATGTGTTTCTAAATTCCACCACATACTATTTCCTCCCTCTATTCCCCACAGTACCTTCTATGCCGAGATCATTTTGTCCATTCCTTCCAACTTCTGTGTTGTTAAGAGTTTCATCTCTTATCCTGTTTCTATAGCTTAGTGCCTTTATTTCTAGCACCAATCTTATAACCAAGTTTTAGAATTTCTCCGGAACTCTTCTTATTGTACTATGTAAGGCAGGGATTCCATGCTGATGCTGCATATTCTAAGACTGGCCTGATATGTACCGAGTTGTATGTGTTCATGTACTGTACATAAGCATACCAGTATGTTCCAAGTTAGGTTAAGTCTGTTTTCAGTGCATCCTGGGTACTTGTATACTGTATTGCAATTGCTTTCATTCCATACTGGGATTCACACATTTGTTTTCAAATCATCCTGGATTAGGGTGACAATCAGAGAGGTAACTATACATGTAATAAATATTCACTTTTACACTCAGTCCTCATCTCACACTTTTGTTGTACACAAACACTGCTCTGCAATACTAAATACTATATGTATATGTATTTTTTTAATTATTTATGACATCTACATATTTTACGTATTTCACATAAATTTCCATATTTTATGAACTTAAAAAATTCTTTACAGAGAACATTCAGTGCATACTGCATTTCCTTATCTCCTTCCTTGTATTTAGAAAACCTCTACACAGTGAGTTAAATTAAGGTACGAGTTATGGCATGGTTGAAAGCCCCTTGAGTCTTAGGAGATCTAAGAGTTTATGAGAATATATTTATAAATTAAAAAATATCAGAATGTACACCCTTCAAGAGAAAATATCTGTATGAACCACCATGGTTTAGCCGTGGAGCAACAACGAATCAGGCACATAACTCTGGAAGCTTAAGCCATCAACACACCGCAGCAACACGACTTAGACCTTTGCTGTGTCGGCCCCAGCTCTCCTCTGTTGGATCTGCTTGAGGCGATGACTGCAGTAAACACGTAAAAAGATGGCTGTGAAGACCAAGACGATTCCTAGAATGCCCACCACAGTTACAGGATGAGAATAAATAATGCATGACAAGAGGATGGCCAGACCCTGTGAGGGAAGAAAATAAAACAAATGACAAAAATATATTTCGCTAAATCAATGCTGTACAATAACACACAAACTGTAATTGTTGTTTATTGCTTTTAAGTCTCTTACTTCAGGTAATCCAAACATATCTCTCTCTCTCTCTCTCTCACACACACACACACACACACACACACACACACTACCACACAGAGTGGTAGACGGTTGGAACAAGTTAGGTGAGAAAGTGATGGAGGCCAAAACTGTCAGTAGTTTCAAAGCGTTATACGACAAAGAGTGCTGGGAAGATGGGACACCACAAGCATAGCTCTCATCCTATAACTACACTTCTTGAGATGATACACTTAGATACTGTAATTATACACAAACCAAAATACACCCATCCAAATACTATCCCTTACCTGACGAATAGTCATGATAATGATGAAAACGACCGGACCAAACACAGAGATGGTGTGGTAGATGAACAGCTGGCCAGTGGCAGAACAAATCTGTAGAAAAATATATAGTATTTAACTGGCAGTACAAATCAAATGAAAAATATACTTTTTAAACACAATAAGCAAGCTGTGAACCAAGACACAGTTTAATACTGCCAAAGACAATTTTCAAGGTATCACTTTCATATAAATCTCCGTTAAGATTTAAAAAATCCATTCAGCACTGCCCAGCAAGAGATATTCACAGACATTATAGATCCCTGCCCAAAGCTCAAAATTTATGCAATCATGGGTTGGAGAAGTATTCACTTTTTTTTATGTGTAATGTCATCAGGTTACTGAACTACAGAGAAGTACTGTAATGTATACAGTAATAGATCTGCCACATTTATCAGTGACACGAGTACAACTGTACATGTACGTAAAGTATATAGAAAACTTACCGAGAGAATAAGACTGTCCCAGAAAAATGCGGGATACGTGAGCATGAAGTTGAGAGAGACACTGAAGCTACCCTGCTGCACCAAAGCAGCAGTGGTGAAAAGGCAAGAAAACAGATTAACACCACACATCATCTGTACGGAGGACATCTTGTGCTGGCTGAAGAGTTCTCCTTGCCAGTTGGAAGTGAAGGCGTCAAATGACATGTAACCAATAAGGATGATGACCCCAGATATAGTGGTGGTGCTGGAGGAGCCTGCATGGGAATCAAAGACCGTTAATCCATTAACAGAAATGCATGAAGTAATGCATGTTAAATCCCATAAATATTTATTCACTATAATTTTCTATAATTACAATTATTTTCAAAATAATCACAACAAAGGACCGGGACACACACAGGACCGGCACACACAGGACCGAGACACACACAGGACTGGGACACACACAGGACCGGGACACACAGGACCGAGACACACACAGGACCGGGACACACACAGGACCGGGACACACACAGGACCGGGACACACACAGGACCGGGACACACACAGGACCGGGACACACACAGGACCGGGACACACGTAGGACCGGGACATATACACTAAATCATACGCACACACACAGCACGGGAAAAAGGGGCAAATTCACAAATATTTTACATACTTTAAGCGCAGTATATGACAGGGAAAGTTAAAATAAGTGATGCAGAAATAAATAAGGCGTTATCAATAACATCCATAACATAAACCACCAACAGGTAGAGAATATCAAGACATTCAACAATAACACACACACACAACTAAGTTACTTACTTCCTTTTGATTCTGTCGACCCCAAAAGGAACATGGTCATGCCAGCGGAAATAAGCACAGCCGTCACATACTCGAAATACTCGTACTTCTTTCCACTAACAATCTTGCCCATTATCATGGTTGGAATAATTTTTGATGCCTTAGCCAACACCTGAAAAAATATTAAGTTGCTCATCAAATTTAATATGTACTGATATTGCACTCAAGTCACAACTTGGCAATGGGGCAGGATGGACTGAAATGTTATTTTATTTCAGTTCATATATGTGGGTTAGGTTGTTAATTGCCAGACAATTAGTTATTGTCTGGCAAGGTAAAGGTCAAGTTATTGACCTTTTTTTCATTCAGATTTTTTATTTCTATTTTTTATTACAAAACATTTTAACAGTTAAGCCTGGATAGATCAAGTGCACATCCATAAAAATGCTGATGACAAACATTTGAATTAATGAGAGAGCATGTATGACATGTTGACACTTTCACGTTGTGAACGTTCACCTAACTAGGCGAGTACGTTCATTAACCCAAGGGGGGGAGTGTATCTCAGCCACTCAAAGCCGGGCAAGTGCTGGCCAAACAGGTGATAAGCCATATACTAATACTATCACATTTGGTAGAATAAACATTGGAGATATATGGGAGTTTTATATATGAGAGGATTTACTTAGCATTTATTAGTGCACTTCATGTGAATTAGTAAGATGGCTTGCCATGCCAGGTTGAGTTCCATGAGACCCTAGATGGTACAAATGTCACAACAGTGGTAAAGTTTCCCAACCCTAACACTCAGGAGGGGAACATACACATACACACACACAATGGTTTTCTAATATTTGTATTTATATTTTTGTAATTCTGTTTATATAATATATAATTAGCATATAATGAAATACTGTATTAGAATTCATCTCTCTTTATTAAAATGAAATATTTCATGAAATATTTATTAGCAATCATGTATTGAATCGATAAAACACCAACTTGTCATAATATTAAGGTGTACGATATTATCCCCACCTATAACGGAATCAATAGAAACTGATTAATTGGAGAAGATCCAAGCTCGAGCCATTTCCATTAAGTTTCCAGCTGCTTTTTTGACAAAGATCTTCATCTAAATGATTATATATTGATTGAATTAGATATAATAGGCCCAAGGAGAAAATCAGAGTTTATGTTTCACAAAGCTAATTAGCAAAAACTGCCGTGAAAGATGTTTGCATGCCTCATTTCTTTGTCGGTCTAAAAATGGGTTATCAAACACTTATTTTCTTAATATTTTAGACAAGTCTGCCATATTCACAGAATATAATAGGTGTTAGTAAAGATCTGGGTAAATACCAGTTTGAAAATTGGGTTGTTGATTTATAGAACAAATTGCTAGGTAACATAATAGACATGAGATCAGTGGATTATTTTAAGCATATCTTAGACATATGAATGAGTATGGGTGGATATAAATATGAGCTGCATAATGTCCTTAAGTTTAATGGTTTTGTGTGTGTTACCACCTCAAGTGACGTCTTGTAAGGAAAGGAGGAATGCCAAATGTGTAAGGTTTATGATATCTCATGTCTAGTCACTCCATTAACATTATTGTGTAGGCCCATTTTCTCATGTTGATGTAGTTTAGAGGCTTTCAGACTGCAAAAATACATGTTTATCCTCTTAATCATAAATCATCCAATACTTAAAATAACAACAATTTTGGTAGTACAGTATTCAATATTTTTGGTGCTTTTATAATGTATATTTTTTAATGAACACATTTTTGTATACTTCCATATTTATATACATGTGTGTTTAATACAAAATGTTTTGCTGATATACAGTAATATTGGGTTGGCAAACTTAAGAACTGATATACAGTAATATTGGGTTGGCAAACTTAAGAACTGATATACAGTAATATTGGGTTGGCAAACTTAAGAACAGATGATGGCACATTTGCCAATCCCAAGCAAATTACTTGAACATGCTGTTCAGATGCTCTGAAATATAGCAGCCTAATAAATGGGTCTGTTGTAGCCTAGGTCATGGGCAACATAATGGACCATTCTGATTTGTCCAAAATTGTGATCTCTAAAGAGCCAAATACATTTGGCTAGTAAACCATACTGCATTTCCCCCTTTGTAGTTAATATATTTGATTATGGGTTAGACAAATAAGAAAATGGATGGGTTTAAACAAATTCAATTTACAAACCTGTGTGGGAAAGGTAACGTACTTGAGTGCCTCATACTGACACCAAGAGCTCATAATATTGGAAAATGAGCAGTATGAATATTTGTAGATAGGTGCTGTGTGCCGTGGTTGTCTGGTAAAGCCAAGATAAGCCGCTGCTAACATAAACGCCAGAATGCGATTGACAAACACCAAAAACTGAGAGTCCTTGAAGTGACCAATACTGCCTCTGAAGTTCTGGTACTCCTGAGGACACAATGTTACAAATCTCATGAAATGACACTAACATGTTCAAAATGCCATATTACCATACATTTAGTCCTTAATATATTGTTAATTACACAGTACACAAGTTCACCATTAGATTTGTATAACCTTCAAATGTAATTATGTACCTCATATGGCTCCAATTTTATTTAATTACTTAAAAAGGTTACTTAATGGTTCAACTATTAAGTTTGTGTGCAGGTGATCATTTTCTATGGGGGGCTGCATTCTTGAAAAACCTGTGTAAATGCTCACCTGCATTAATTAAACTTAAAGAGGAGAACATAGGAGGAACTGAACTCCTGGCATCCAATCCCATTCCAGTATCTGTGCGAGATGGAACTTCTAAGACTCTTAACAAAAAAGAGCGAGAAGGGTAGTCGGAAGATTAACAGCTGGAGAATATATCAATACAATGTTTAATACATTATGAGTAACAGTGTCCAGACAATGGTACAGGAATTGGACACCAAAAGCAGATCAATTGAAAATAGCTGCAGCCACGTGGGATAGCTGCATATTTATTACCAAACAAAATGTGAACCATCTGTACATAATATACAACTATTTTGGCAAAAACTCTACTCACAACATGCTTATTTTTTCAAAATATATACTTCACTTAAAACTAAAAAAAAAAAATATTTTATCTGTGGAATTGTACTGCATAAGCAGAAAAAAAACAAATACTGTGCATTATTTATCAAAATGAACTAGGACTGTCATAAAAGAATGTAGGATGATATTCAAACCTAGTTCCAGGCCAGCAATTCTTATATACTGAACAGTAGTTCAAGATATTAAATAAAAATTGAACTACCAGAACTACAATCTAGCATGGAAAAGGAAGAGCCTCTGATTACATAATTACTTTTATTGGAAATTAGCAGGCCTTTTAATAGAAATAATTTATACTTGACTATGTTACCAATACAGCACATTACAGCTACTCAAAATATAATGTAGGATGGCATCAACACAATGTTTACAAAACATAATAATAATGTTAAATATAATAATACTGTATAGGGGTACCCAGCATTTCACGGGTCTGTTTGTCTGTCTCTCTTCCCTCTCTACCTATCTCTACATGTCTCTACTCCAAGCAGTCTGTCTGTCTGTCTATCCAAGTTACCTCCAGCTTGGGACAGACATATTCTCACCCAGGTCTCCCTCCCTCCCTCCCTCCCTCCCCCCCCCTTTCCCCTCTATCCCTTCCATCCATTTTCTCTCTTCCCCCTCCCTTTCTCTCCCAATCTCCATCCTCTCTCATCTCTCTCCCTCTATCTCCCCCCCCACCCCCCCTAACCACATATTTCTCCCCCACTCTTTCCCTACATCATCACCCCTATCACCTCTGCCCCATTTTATATAATAATAATAATAATATTTATTTACAAGGTATGATGGGTATGTGGGATTACATAAGATTGTTATTTTTACATTCTTACAAAGTCACTAACACACACAGCATTTCGGGCATTTCTAACCTCTTCCCTCTCTCCACCTGTCTCGCCACTCTTCTTTTCTCTCTCTCTCCCCCTTTTCCCACCTGTCTCACCACTCTCTCTTTTCTTCTCTCTATTGAATTCACAATCTTTTTTTTAGTGAAGAAATTTAGAGACCTGGCCTGCCATCTTTCACTAATTACTTGGGGGTGAGGGGGTCACTGAAGTGCCCGACTCTATAGTATGGATTTTTTAAATCTCTCATTTATTATTTTTATAATAAATTATATATATATACTGCATATTGATTATATTACATTATATACATGATACAGTAATATTTTTTATAAGGCTGCTAATCCCACACAGTGTTTCGGGAAATGTATTTTTGTAAACGAATGGCTAAGCTTGTGGCATATACAGGTAAGAATGCATCTAGAAAACAAAGAAAAATGTATGACTAATAAACCAACTGTACTATCAAAACCTGGACAAAATATGACACCAAAAATTTGACAATCCACACACATTATTACCAAAACTAACACTTTACCTTTGTCATGATTTTCTCCTGCAAAACACCCCAAGTAAGATATGATGCCTGAAGGCCTATAAAGCAGAAGCACAGCTGCAAACACTTGGTAGCTGCACTTCTCTCACCTACAGCACTCTTAGATGAAGGTACATCTGTTGTCATTAATTTATCATAACTCTGCCCATACACACATGATGTAATGAGCCTAGAAACAACTCCAGAACCTGAAAGACAAATGTTTCTATAACTCATGTACAGCATGGTACTGTATTCACATTTTATAATATTATATACAATTCAGTATAACACTATACAATTTTTCCCCTTAAGAGGACTTGAAAACCAACTGGCTGTCTCCAGACAACTGATTGAAATAGCATGCTGTAAAAAATGTTTGTGGGAGGGTAATCACATTTATTTAAAACTTGATAAGGAGCAGAAAATATTACAATTACTATATAAAAACTGCATTTTGTAGCACAATGCAAACAAAAATAAAAATAAAACTGTGCTTACACTTAGTTCAATGCATCAAGACACCTTAATCAAGCAGACATCATAATTCATTACATCAAAATTTATTCCACTAACCAATACCTTACTTTTAATCAAGAGTGCTGTTCATGAAATCCATTCTATCAATATCAAGGTTGCAATATATTCGGCACTGCCTATGGAAAATCCTTAGCATATACTAGGAAAGCAAAATATGAAAGAACAGAGGACAGAAAATTACATTTTAAACCTTTATATAAAGTAGGTTTTTCATTATTTTTTATTTATAATGATGTACAAACAAACCATTATGTATCAGTTTATGGAAAGTAATAATAATAATATTCATACCTGCTCTTTCAATATATTTAGATTTCTTGAAGTACTGAATAAGGAGGTATCCAGGTATAAGTATTGTGGAATAACACAGCAGGTTGAGTACTAGGCTTCCAAGCCAAGAGTTAGCTAAATCCATGACCATAGAATTTTCAGACATCACACTTCTGAAAAACAAAGAATATAAATACTCGATGTTATTTATAGTAGTTGATTTGATCAAATACAGCAACAGGGATCAAATACGATAGGGTAGGATAGGTAAGGATAAGGTAGCGAAGACACAAATTTACACAGGGCACAGTAGAACCTTACAAGAAATTATAAAACTTGAACAACGATGTCTTCAACCCCTAAACTTGAACTTTGCTCATGTCCTTATGAAATTTCTTCCATGAAATCATAACAGATGTTATACGAAAATTAAATCCAGGCTCATCTTATACATTATGTAAAGAAAATTATGTGGCATGTCTATATGAACATACCTAATTTATACAAATTTAAAATGCCGTGCACTCAAAAGTATAAAGTAAATTAGTTTAAAACATAAAAACACACTGAACGTTATTCTTAAGACAGAATCTGAAATTTATTCACCTCCTTAAGAGGTTCTTAACCTCTTGTTTCTTGTGTAATTGCACAATTTATTCAAGTATTTCTCTTTATCTATTATTTCACAAGTATTCCCTTCTGACGAGTTGTAATTTGGACCTTTCCTTGAAGAGTAACACTTGATAATATTGGTGGAGGGGCTCGGGCCGACAGCCTGAGTTTGTTGACGTCCCCAGTTTGTTGACGTCACCAGGTGACTCCGGGGGGCTACGGGCTCAAGGCGTCTCCTGGGTCACCAGGGGGGGGAAACGGCCCCTTTTATAAGTAACATCTGTAATTCACTAATATATGCAAAACTAGCACATTTGAAATATAAAGAAACAGCCAAAACGGGGCCGTTTTCTCATATTTAACATGTGGTAGACTTGCATTTAATGTGTATATATATATATATATATATATATATATATATATATATATATATATATATATATATATATATATATATATATATATATATATATATATATATATATATATATATATATATATATATATATATTTATATATATCTGATTCAGCCGCGAGGCCCCCCATAACTCGTGGACTCATCACACACCTGAATCTCACACATACACCTGTCAGAAGAACACCTGTGTCCATGCTATACCTGCCTACGTCATCACTCAGCTGATTAAGAGTTCCTCATAACCTCATAACCTGTTGTATAAACATACACAACTCTTAATACCACGTGCGTTTGCTCTCTCCAGCGTAGCATGCCATACATCATTCATAAATTGCAAAAATAATATTAATAACGATAATGACAAGAGGTTATTTAAAATAAACACATGATTACAGAAAAATTGTTGATGTAGGTATTTACGCATTTTCTTTTTAAATGCCTCTTATCGCACCCATCGATTCGGTCTATAATATTACACACACACACACACGCACACGCACACACACACACACACATCACAGTGACAGTTCAATACTTCACTGAGTCACCAGCACACTCATAACAATCCCCTGAATCACTCACACCCTCACAACATTCCCATGCGTCATCAACCCCCCCCCCCTCACAACAATCCCATGAGTATCAACCCCTCTCACAACAATCCCCGACTCACCAATAGCCTCATAACAATCCCCGACTCACCAATAGCCTCATAACAATCCCCGACTCACCAATAGCCTCATAACAATCCCCGACTCACCAATAGCCTCATAACAATCCCCGACTCACCAGTAGCCTCATAACAATCCCCGACTCACCAGTAGCCTCATAACAATCCCCGACTCACCAATAGCCTCATAACACTCTCCTGAGTCACCTACGTACTCACAACAGTCTCCAAGCAACACATCACAATAATTTAACATAAAAGGTACTACAAAGGGTTGTGAAAGTACAGATTAGGAAGATTATTTTGTACATTCTTGGCAAGCGACTAACACGCATAGTTGACCGTATGATGATGAGTTCAGAGCCCAAGTGATGAGTCTTCCGGAGCCCAAGTGATGAGTCTTCCGGAGCCCAAGTGATGAGTCTTCCGGAGCCCAAGTGATGAGTCTTCCGGAGCCCAAGTGATGAGTCTTCCGGAGCCCAAGTGATGAGTCTTCCGGAGCCCAAGTGATGAGTCTTCCGGAACCTAGGTGATGAGTCGTCCGGAATCCTTAGGATTTTTTTCTAGTTATTAATAACTGTTCTTCTGTATTACGCTCGTGTAGGAACCAAGTTGGTAAGTTAATCTACTATCACCTCTAAATTATCACTTGCGGAGAAAAAATACAAATTAATTACTTACACAAATCAAAACAAATCCCCTCATGCACTTGTCTTTCTTGTTTTTACTACGTAGTCTTCACACTACCAGAGTTCCTGCTCAAATACTCCGTTTTCTATACTTGCCACACATTGAAGTTAAAAAAAAAGTGAAGCCTCTTTTGTGCTGTTGAGAAAACAGCATTTAACATAATAGTTATTACTTCGTTTTGTCGGCGACAGAAAGCCTGTGTACATGTATTTTGTAGACTTCTATTGAAGTTCCCGCAAGGTCAAACGACTGACCCTCCCCATAGGTGGCATTCCCATGACGGGTCTATGCTCGCGAGAACGCGTTGCTCTGGTATGTTTTGTAATGTCCCTAACTATGCACGCGACTCACAATCGGGGATCCCGGGTTCGACTCCTGGGAGGGACAGAAAAAATTAGCTCGTTTCGTTTCACCTAATGCGCTTGTTCACCAAGCAGTAAATAGGTACCTCCGGGAGTTAGGCAACTGTTGTGGGGTTGCGTCCTAGAGAAGGTCAGTCAATTGACCTTATCAGATCATCGATATAAGAGTTTAGAGTCACATAAGCCCAGCAACTAGACAATAGATATCTACATTCTAAGCCATTTAAATTTGTGTGAATAGGTTACATATTAATTCACCTCAAGTTTGGGATCAAGAAATAGCGGACGACCAACATGGCGCAGGGAGGCGGCGCGCGCAGCACCGACCGAAAACTCTAGGAAACCAGAAAACCCAACGATATACGGCAGGCATGTGGATGACGGGGCTTTTTTCCCGCACTCCGAAGATGATAACGAAGGCGATTCCGTACACAGCAAATATCCCAGTAATGCTGCCTGGAAGTCTGCCACCAAGAGAAACAATAAGACGTCCGGGTCCCAATACTTGCTAAGCTAAGGTACGTCACGTTCTCTTCTGAGACCTTTCATAATTTCTTTTGAAGACAATTGAAAGCAAGAAGCTCCCAGCAGTCAAATTAAATAACCAATGGTCCGACACTCATTGATAAAGCACATAAGCCACGCTTTCCTCCACAAAACACCCTATACACACTCAGGTATCCAACATGCTATGCCAATGAACATCATGAAAAACAGAAGCAATCACACACCAAAAGTTATAAATGACTCCATTGAGCTTTACGATCCACCATTACAGAGGCACGTAATCGGTTCAGGAACTGAACCCTCTAGTTCATTTAGCTAAGCAAGCAGTACACATTTCTTGGACACTATTGATGGTGTTATCTCTAAATTCCGCGATTTTTTTCACATTCCATTATATAATGACGAAAAGTATGCGAGTACACCCTAACCTAACTTAGACGAAGCCTAACCTAACCTAACCTAGACCAAGCCTAACCTAACCTAACCTAACATAGACCAAGCCTAACCTAACCTAACCTAGACCAAGCCTAACCTAACCTAACCTAACCTAGACCAAGCCTAACCTAACCTAACCTAACCTAGACCAAGCCTAACCTAACCTAACCTAACCTAGACCAAGCCTAACCTAACCTACCCTACATTGTGGCTAACTCCTAAACATAATCCCATTTACAGAATCAATTTTATTATTTATTTATTTTATTTATTTTTGTTCTATACAAGAGTTCTTATATTCATGTAAAGCCACTAGCACGCATATAGCGTTTCGGGCAGCTCCTTAATCCTAATGTTTCCCCGTAATACGACCCGCCAAATTGTTTAACAACCACCCATTGAACATAGACTACATTTAAGAATTGGCGCCCCGTCAATCCTCCCCTGCTAGGATACGAACACAGGCCAAAGTGCTTGCGAACCGCCAACATTACATTTCCAGTCGTACAGTCATCGGGAGGAGACAACTTTCATGCAAAGTGCACGTACCATTAAAGAAGATTAAGTTACAAGGGCAGTGATCTGTTTACAGTCGTACATTGTACCGGAACACAAGGAGACGTGTTCAAGAGACAATTTGACAAATTCCTGCAGTAAGTGCCGGACCACCTGGGATGTAATGGATATATGGGCCCCGGGCTGTTCCAAGCAACAACAACCTTTTAGGTCAAGATATTACAAAACAACTCAGGCCGGGCTTGGGGAGTGGGTTTTGAGAGTTCTACTCTCAGAACCCACTCTGTAAAAATACAGGTACATACGTCCCTTGTACCACGTCAAGTGAACCTTGTACCTCAAGTGTAGTCTCGCGGCCGGTGAACCTGAAATACAATACACACTCGACACTGTAGTTACTCCAACCTTTTTAGTTAGTTTTTTTTTTATAGTTTAGTTCATTTATTATGCACCCCATACCCATCTTGTGGGCGGTAGTGGAAAGGGTTACAGGGGCACACAATGGACTCAGGGACTGAACCCCACAATTCATTTAGCTAAGCAAGTTCCTTGTCAATCATTTTCCTACTAACACTCCCTAGCTAGCAGAACTTGTCTAACAGTTTGATAGACCGCGCTTCAGCTTCTGGGCCCCGCTTTTCCTAAGCTAATACAATGACTCCCGAATTCTTTGTTTCTTGTCATATCTGCTTTTAAAATTATGGTCGGAGGAATCCTCTACTTCTCCTTCTATTGTCTTCCACTGTTTTACTGATCTCTGAAGAACTGTTTCCTCACATCCCTGTGGCTCACCTTGCTAGCCTCTTGCTTGTCCTCACTCTTCACTACTGCTCAACCTAAACATTCTCTATTTCACTATATATTGCCATGAATATTTTAGATATCTGGATCATATCCCCACTGTCTTCTTCCAGTGCTATTTCAAGTTTAAATACGTTTATTGAGACAATAAGATACATCACA